TGGCCGTGGACACCCCCTCTTTGGCCGTGGACACCCCCCTGTGGCCGTTGACACCCCCCTGTGGCCGTTGACACTCCCCTGTGGCCTTGGATACCGCCCTGTGGCCGTAGACACTCCCCTGTGGCCGTAGACACTCCCCTGTGGCCGTGGACACCCCACTGTGGCCGTGGACACCCCCTCTTTGGCCGTGGACACTCCCCTGTGGCCGTGGACACTCCCCTGTGGCCGTGGACACCCCTCTGTGGCCGTGGACACCCCCCTATGGCCGTGGACACCCCCTCTTTGGCCGTGGACACTCCGCTGTGGCCGTGGACATTGCACTGTGGCCGTGGACACCCCCTCTTTGGCCGTGGACATCCCCTGTGGCTGTGGACACCCCCTCTTCGGCCGTGGACACTCCCCTGTGGCCGTGAACACTCCCCTGTGGATGTGGACACACTCTCTTTGGCCGTGGAGTCTCCACTCTGGCCGTGGACACTCGTCTGTGGCCATGGACACTCCCTTGTGGCCGTGGACACTCCTCTGTGGCCGTGGACACCCCCTCTTTGGCCGTGGACACTCGTCTGTGGCCGTGGACACTCCCCTGTGGCCGTGGACACTCCCCTGTGTCCGTGGACACCCCTCTGTGGCCGTGGATACCCCCCTGTGGCCGTGGACACCCCCCTGTTGCCGTGGACAGCCCCCTATGGCCATGGACACCCCCTCTTTGGCCTTGGACACTCCACTGTGGCCGTGGACACTCCACTGTGGCCGTGGACACTCCACTGTGGCCGTGGGCACCCCCTCTGTGGCCATGGACACTCTTCTGTGGACGTAGACACTCACGTTTTGAAAACTGCAGGGGGATTTGAGCAAAAAATGACCCATCACCGTTTTCAGTAATTGGCATATTTTCGGCGTAAAAAGTCGTAATTTGAAAATGAAAATAGGTGCAGAGAGTCAGAATTCGGCTCAAAAATCACGCTCAGGAGTCAAATTTTCGACATTTCAGATATTTGGAAAACTGCAGGGGGGTTTGGGAAAAATATGACCCATCGCCCTTTTCAGTAATATGCATATTTTCGGTATAAAAAGTAGTAATTTGAAAATGAAAATAGGTACAGAGAGTCAGAATTCGGTTCAAAAATCACGCTCAGGAGTCATATTTCCGACATTTTAGATCATTTAAAAACTGCAGGGGGGTTTGGGCAAAATATGACCCATCGCCGTTTTCAGTAATTGGCATATTTTCAGTATAAAACGTCGAAATTTGAAAATGAAAATAGGTGCAGAGAGTCAGAATTCGGGTCAAAAATCACGCTCAGGAGTCAAATTTCCGACATTTCAGATATTTTGGAAACTGCAGGGGGGTTTGCGCAAAATATGACCTATCGCCGTTTTCAGTAATTGGCATATTTTCGGTATAAAAAGTCGAAATTTGAATTTGAAAATAGGTGCAGAGAGTCAGAATTCCGCTCAAAAATCACGCTTAGAAGTCAAATATCCGAAATTTCCGATATTTTGAAATCTGCGGGGGGGGGGGGGGGGGGCAAAATATGACCCATCTCCGTTTTCAGTAATTGGCATATTTTCGGTATAAACAGTCGAAATTTGAATTTGAAAATAGGTTCAGAGAGTCAGAATTTAGCTAAAAAATCACGCTCAGGAGTCAAATATCCGACATTTCAGATATTTTAAAAAGACACCCCCCTGTGGCCGTGGACACTCCCCTGTGGCCGTGGACACCCCTCTATGGCCGTGGACACCCCCCTGTGGCCGTGGACACTCCCCTGTGGCCGTGGACACTCCCCTGTGGCCGTGGACACCCCCTCTTTGGCCGTAGACACTCCACTGTGGCCGTGGACACTCCACTGTGGCCGTGGACACTCCCCTGTGGCCGTGGACACCCCCCTGTGGCTGTCAATTGTCAATTCAGTCTATTGGTTGTAGACCCAGGAAAGGGTGCATTTGTTAATTTAGGGGCGGCGACGACTGTGGGACTAGGAAGGGGTAGAGCTTGAGGGCAAGGTGCCTTTAGGGTTGGAGTCTAGACTTCACCTTCAAGGATGCAAGAGCCAAAGATTTTAGAGTGTCAACTGGGAGTGCAAAGAGGGGGCGAGTGATCTAACACAAAGCGACAACATCGGCTGAGGTAAGGTAAGGTAATGTCTGCGAGATTCACAGCACAACGGGTAGTCCATCAGTAATTATAAGGTGTTTTCCAGATTCCTTTATAAATTGTTAGCAAAGATTTATAGGTCAATAACAAATACATATTGTAGATTATGATTTCAAATTTATCACACTAATTTGTGAAAGGCAGAATAAGAGAATATTACAAATGACCAAAATAACATAAATTTCAAGATATTTATGATTATAAAACACTGTACATAGGTTTGGACATAATGTATATACATGTTTTTATGTATTATATGTTTTACAGTTTTTCCCAGTAAACATCTGCACCTTATGACAGCCTCTGACAATGTTGAAATTATGGCTTGCATTGTTACTGTATTCAAAGTATATTAGCCTTGATTAGGATTGACGAAGAGCACTTAAGACATTAATTAGTTTCTAAACCAAATTTCAGCATATCATTTTAAAAGAATTAAAACTGCAAGTCTCTCTAAATTGTTAAGGAATATTCTTATCTAAGGAAATCTTAACACACCGTGCCAATCAAAAATACTGGCATCTTTTCTTGTGTTTCTATTAAAAATAATCAGTCTGACATTGCTAATATAGTATTAAAATGGCGAAAATTACTATAGGCTGTATGTAGACCACGGGACGAGTTCCTGAATCCATTATTTATGAATCTCGAAAGCTTTTATCCCCTGTTTTGATTTATAATATACTAATTAAAGTAAATCAATATATTACTTATTACTTATTATATTAAATTATAATATTACTGATTAAAAGTAACTAACTGAATGTAAAACATTGGAGCGCAAACTAGCACAGCACGAGAAATTGAAATTGAAATAAGTTTATTGAGGTAAAATACACACAAAGGGATGAGGTAGCTCAAGCTATTCTCACCCCGTTCAGTACATCGTGTTACTACATACATAGACACACATCACAAGCAATAAACGTATTACCGAACATTCTGAGAGATAAACATCTACATTAACTAGCACAGCACGAGGATATGGTCGTTAAGCACTGTGACGTCACCAATGACGTTGGGCAAGAAGGTCAGGAGCGGCCGGCGCCGCCTCAGTGTCGGGCTGACAGCCAGTAGACGTAGTTTCTTAGGCGGTGTCCCGCTTCTTACATCATTTGCAGCTACACCGGTCATCAGGTAAGGTTACAGTGGACTTTATTGCTCAATGTATTAACTCATATAAGGTGTCGATATTTAATTATGGTGTGACCTGGTTGTTGGCGTAGCGTAATGTGGGCTCTGTTATGTGATGCCTTCAGAGGGACGGTGATATTTGGGTGGCGTATGATAGAATTGGTAAAGTTATTTACATGGAAACGTAGTTGATGTATCCTAACAATAATTAGCCTCGTTTAAGATTTTTCCGTACAGCATTAAGTGGCTGGTCCACACTTTTTTGTTAAATCTGCATTAGAGCGGGCAAAAAGTCTAAATATCTGGGCAGTACGTAAGGTATTTAAGTATGTTGGCCTGTTTAAAATGCAATAGAGTAATGAGTAAAGGATGAGGGTGTAAAGGATAAAAATTACTGCAGAATTTTGGGATTTGTAGTTCAAAATTGTAGAGCCAGCTGTCATATTAAATTTTTAAATGGCTTGTAGGTACTGTAAGGCACTAAATGTACAGCTTATTCCTGTGGCGTAGCGTTGATAGTAGTTGGTGGCAGTTTATGGGTATCTTTTGTGGCTTAATGGTCTAAGGGTGTTTTCACAGCCCCCCCCCCCCCCCCCCAGGCTCGCAGAACTAGGCTGCTTCGATGAATCTTGATGCTTTTAAAACTTAATGGTATTAAACCCACTTTTTTTTTTATTTAACAGGTGGGTGTGGATTTCTGTAATGTAATTCACGGAAGCAATTTCATCTGAATTACTTTGGTTACGACCGGGTATTTGGCAAGTTATGCAGGTTTGAATTTCTTCAGTCTTGATAACTGTAGTGTCCATTGCAGCGGGTAAACAAATTTTCAGGTACAGTAGTAATAATAGTTTGTGGTAAGGTAGAAATTGAAAATTATATTTTGGTATTGTATTAAATCTCGGCCCTTCCGCCCCCCCCCTCCCCCCACCCCTCCCCCCACTACTACTTGGGCAATTTTCCTAGTTCATGTGGTTTCTTCAGTAGTGCGAAAAATGTATTTTAAAGCTGTCAGTAAAGTTAATGTATTCAGTGGGGCCGTAATTAGTAAACGTAGAAATCTGCGTGTCTGGGATCACATTGTTTTCCCAGACAGTCAATTTTGTAAGTAATTAAGTGTTGGCATGTCGCTAATTTACGGGCTACTAGTGGACATGCCACGTCTTGTGGGGTCGTAATGTTAATCAGTCATGGTATCGGTAGTCACTAGAATGCGTGGTAATATTGTTTGGAATGGCAACTTAAAAGCTATTAGGACGAATGTATTAAACAAATTAAGAATTTAAATTTATTGAAAAAGGTTTAGTACTAAAGTTTGTACCCTGGTGTTGCCCTATATATCAAAGATTACAAAGACACGAGGGTATACAATGTTATACAGAGAAATTATAATTTGTTGAACAAAAATAACCTTAAGACTTTTTCATAAATTTATTTGATACTTTATAAAACATTGTAATGGTATAAATAACTTAACGTTTTGTCTTTCTAGGGTCTGGCTCGACAATGGCCACGAGTCTTCTTGAGAAACTTAAAGTGAACGGAGGACTAGTCAGTCACACAAGGCACGGAACTAGTTCTGACGTGACGTAGCTGCAAGTCTCGATAGAGGTGGTTGGACGGTGTTGAACACGGGGCGGCTGACAACGTTGCAGGAATATCTGAAAGAAAAGGCAAGTTGTTAAAACGTTCAGTTAATATTTATCATTAGCAGGAAACTGTTGGAAAGGATATTCTGCAGAATTATAGAAAGAGCATCTGTGGGACATTAGAAACGGTTAGTATTAACTAGTTTACTTGTCCTAGTTATGAGACTTGGGTTTAGGAGGCAGTAAAAATGCCAGTTAAAATATAGAAATTAATGGAATAGGCTACCATAATTAGTAGGGAAATATCGATAGATGAGCTTTGAAGCAGCATGATTCAAAGATAGTGTAAAGGATGAATGGTAGTGTTCATGACGTTGTAATTGGGAGGACCTAATAGTGATCGGTGAAAATAATTTAGGGCATTATGAATAGTTAGCAGGGGGGGGGGGGTGACGAACTGTGGAAGGCGTTGCTTCTGCACCACTAGAATTTGCCACTAGAAATATTGAACGTTGAGAGTTTGCAAGAATACTGCAGTTTCTTACTGGTTAGTGTAAATGTTAGGAAGAATGAAGGAATGTACATATTCTTCAGTTGACTATAACGGTAAGTGTTTAGCAGTTTTAATGTCAAATGGTATAAATTGGTATTCGATGAAGTATGGTTGACGGGCCATTTTGTTAGTGAAAACGTGTAAAAGTAATATAAAGGGAGGAAACGTGACTACTAACGATAACTTTTACAACATCGTAGATTTGTGGTAGAATGGTGGTTAGAGAATAGTATGTAGTAGGAAATAGTTTGGTGTGTAGTTACTCTAGCTAGTGTTGGAAGGACAAGTAGAGAAACGTGAATATTGAAATTAATAGAAACATTTTAACTTTACAGACGCAGCACAGAAAATGGATGAAGACGGGTGGCTGTAGCAGTAAGAAGGCCGGTGAAGCATAGACTGCAAAATTGCGAAGCAAGATGCAAAATAAAGGAAAGTTGTAAATCTGTGTATTGTGTACTTTGAAATTGTTCTTAGAACTATAGAATCTGTTCCATCTGTTATGTTTAATATCTGGTGTATGGTGTTATGACTATTGTTCGGCTGGTTTTCTGTATTAACAATGTGGTTCCGATGAATGTTGTTCGTATTGGAATAAATATCCCTTAATTATAGACGTTAATGTTTACAGCTGTTTGTGTATTCTTTAACGGCTGGCTATGCACAGTTATGTCTACAATGCCATGTTTATTGTTGTAACATTGTCTAGGCCCAGTGTATGTGACAGTGGCTAGAATTTGAAGGTTTGTTAATAAAGTGTTCATATTGGATATGAAGTGTATGAACTACATGTCCCAAATGGCTTTAGTCCTCTTGATGTAAAAGTTTGACACAGTAACACTTCGTGGTTAATGTTGTTAGAAGGGTTGTTCCTGAGGGTTTTAAGTGGTGTTGACTGATCACCTTGTTCCTTAAGAGCATTTTGGCCCGGTTTGGTGCCTTTTGATAATTACCTTACCTTAAGAGCATTTTGGTGAAACAGGCTGTACACTGAATGAAGGCAATTGGTTTATAGGGAATATTTTTGTCAATTGTAATCCTCACCTAGGTGGTGTTAAATACTTATTATCAATAGATGCAACCTTGTGGAATATGATAATATGATGAACATGAACCTTAGTGTTTTGTTTTACTTTACAATAACATAAATTACTGTCAAAGAAACGTGAGTTACATTTTTCTTAGGTCAGTTGTATATAAGTTTTCTAACCATATTTATTGCTGTTTACTTGGTTAAAAATTCATCGTATTCGTCTGTTTCTTGTCAAGTGTTGGTGCTTTTAATGTCGGTGTCTCTCTTTACTAGTGTCCCTTGGTGTGTGGTATAGTAGGGGTTTGATAATGGTAGTGGCATCAGTGAAATGTTTAATTTACTACGCATGTGCATCTTGAAAAGAATAAAACAAAATTGGGGGAAGTGTACAAGACAAATGTGTATAGAACGTTGAAGGGGTTGAATGGATGGCACATTCACATTGTCGTGAAGTCAGCCTGAGTGTCCTCAATGTAAATAAAGGTTTTCATAGTAGCAGCAAGTGAAAAGTAATACGAAGACCTTTCACTCCATGCGACGAAGATAACGCGCAATTTACAAGAATTTTGCGTCGCAACACAATTGGTGGCAAAATAAAACATAACACAACAGACGACGACATTTAACTACTACATACGACAAGAAAGATAACACAAGCGACATTTCACACAAGAAAGATCGCACAAAATCACAAGAAATTTTCACAAGAAAAATGGAAAAACGACACGACACAACACGACAGACGACGACAACACAACACGACAAACGACGACACAACACGACAAACGACGACACAACACGACAAACGACGACATTTCACTACATACGACGAAGATAGCACGAAATTCGCCTCACACAACAAACGACGACATTTCACTACATACGACACGACACGACAGACGACGACAAACACGACGAAGATAGCACACAATTCGCCTCAAATCACAAGAAATTTTGGAAAAAATGAAACGACACAACACGACAAACGACGACACAACACGACAAACGACGACATTTCACTACATACGACGAAGATAGCACAAAATTCGCCTCAAATCACAAGAAATTCGCCTCAAAGAAAATTTTGGAAAAATAAAACGACACAACACGACAGACGACGACACAACACGACAAACGACGACACAACACGACAAACGACGACATTTCACTACATACGACGAAGATAGCACAAAATTCACAAGAAATTCGCCTCAAATCACAAGAAATTTTGGAAAAAATAAAACGACACAACACGACAGACGACGACACAACACGACAAACGACGACACAACACGACAAACGACGACATACGACGAAGATAGCACGAAAATTCACAAGAAATTCGCCTCAAATCAAGAAATTTTTGAAAAAAATAAAACGACACAACACGACAGACGACGACACAACACGACAAACGACGACACAACACGACAAACGACGACACAACACGACAAACGACGACATTTCACTACATACGACGAAGATAGCACAAAATACACAAGAAATTCGCCTCAAATCAAGAAATTTTTGAAAAAAATAAAACGACACAACACGACAAAACGACACAACACGACAAACGACGACACAACACGACAAACGACGACATTTCACTACATACGACGAAGATAGCACAAGAAATTCGCCTCAAATCACAAGAAATTTTGGAAAAAAATAAAACGACACAACACGACAGACGACGACACAACACGACAAACGACGACACAACACGACAACACGACAAACGACGACATTTCACTACATACGACGAAGATAGCACAAAATACACAAGAAATTCGCCTCAAATCAAGAAATTTTTGAAAAAAATAAAACGACACAACACGACAGACGACGACACAACACGACAAACGACGACACAACACGACAAACGACGACAAACGACGACATTTCACTACATACGACGAAGATAGCACAAAATACACAAGAAATTCGCCTCAAATCAACAAGAAAAAATTTTGGAAAAACAAAACGACACAACACGACAAACGACGACAGACGACGACACAACACGACAAACGACGACACAACACGACATACGACGACAGATACATACGAAAAGACACAAGAAATTCGCCTCAAATCACAAGAAATTTTGGAAAAAATAAAAACACAACACGACAGACGACGACACAACACGACAGACGACGACACAACACGACAAACGACGACATTTCACTACATACGACGAAGATAGCACAAAATTCACAAGAAATTCGCCTCAAATCAAGAAATTTTGAAAAAAAAAATAAAACGACACAACACGACAGACGACGACACAACACGACGACGACAACACGACAAACGACGACATTTCACTACATACGACGAAGATTTCACAAGAAATTCGCCTCAAATCACAAAATTCACAAAAAAATAAAACGACACAACACGACAGACGACGACACAACACTACAAACGACGACACAACACGACAAACGACGACACAACACGACAAACGACGACATTTCACTACATACGACGAAGATAGCACAAGAAATTCGCCTCAAATCACAAGAAATTTTGAAAAAAATAAAACGACAACACGACAAACGACGACACAACACGACAAACGACGACACAACACGACAAACGACGACACAACACGACAAAACGACATTTCACTACATACGACGAAGATAGCACAAGAAATTCGCCTCAAATCACAAGAAATTTTGGACAAAAACAAAACGACACAACACGACAGACGACGACACAACACGACAAACGACGACATTTCACTACATACGACGAAGATAGCACAAAATTCACAAGAAATTCGCCTCAAATCAAAGAAATTTTAAAAAAAAACAAAACGACAAACGACGACACAACACGACAAAACGACACAACACGACAAACGACGACACAACACGACAAACGACGACATTTCACTACATACGACGAAGATAGCGACACAAGAAATTCGCCTCAAATCAAGAAATTTTGGAATAAAACAACACGAACACGACGACGACACAACACGACAAACGACGACATTTCACTGCATACTGAAGATAGCACGAAATTCGCCTCAAATCACAAGAAATTTTGGAAAAAATAAAACGACAACACGACAGACGACGACACAACACGACAAACGACGACGACAACACGACAAACGACGACATTTCACTACATACGACGAAGATAGCACCTCAAATTCACAAGAAATTCGCCTCAAATCAAAAGAAATTTTGGAAAGATAAAACGACACAACACGACAAACGACGACACACGACAAACTACGACATTTCACTACATACGACGAAGATAGCACAAAATTCACAAGAAATTCGCCTCAAATCAAGAAATTTTTAAAAAATAAAAAGACACAAGACTCCCCACTCTCCCGCATACTCCCCCACTCCTGCATTATCCCCCATCTCCCCCACTCCTGCAGTATCCCCCATACTCCCCAACTCTCCCCCTCCTGCTGTACTCCCCCACTATCCCCATACTCAACCCACTCCTGCAGTATCCCCCATATTCCCCTACTCCCCATACTCCCCCAGTCTTTTAACTCTTGAATTCTGCGACGCAGAATTCTTGTAAATTTTTAGTCATCTTCGTCGCATGGAGTGAAAGGTCTCCATATTACTCTTCACTTACTGCTACTGTGAAAACCTTAATTTACGGCAAGGACACTATCAGGCCGACTTCACGACAATGTGCCATGTATTTAACCCCTTCAACGTTCTTTACACATCTGTGCTGTTCACTCCCCCTCCTCCCCCAATTTTGTTTCACTCTTTTCAAGATGCACATACGTAGTTAGATAATGATGGTAGCATCAGTGAAACGTTATCACTCCTATACCACACCAAGGGACACAGACATTAAAAGCACCAACATTTTACAAGAAACAGACTAATACGATGAATTTTAAACCAAGTAAACAGCAATAAATATGGTTATAAAACTTTTGTACAACCGACCTAAGAAAAATGTAAGTTAGAAAACGCGTCACGTTTCTTTACATTGATAACATAAGTACTGTCAAAGTAAAACACCAAGGTTCATGTTGCTCATATTTATTATATTCCACAAGATTGCATCTATTAATACCAAGTATTTAACACCACCTAGGTGAGGATTACGGTCGACAAAAATATTCCCTATAAACCAATTTGCGTCATTCAGTGTACAGCCTGTTTCACCAAAATGCTCTTTAGGAACAAGGTGATCAGTCAACACCACTTTAAACCCTTAGGAACAACCATTTTAACATTGACACTAACACTTCGTGGTTACACTTTTACATCAAGAGGACTAAAGCCATTTGGGACATGTAGCACCATTCATACACTTATCCAATATGAACACTTTATTACGATTCACCTAGAAACTATTAAATTTTAAATTCTAGCCACTGTCACATACACTGGGCCTAGACAATGTTACAACAATAAACATGGCACTGTAGATAAACTGTGCATAGCCAGCCGTTAAAGAATACACAAACAGCTGTAAACATTAACTTCTATAATTAAGGGATATTTATTCCAATACGAACATCATTCATCGGACCCACATTGTTAATGTAGAAAACCAGCCGAACAATAGTCATAACGCCATACACCAGATATTAAACATAAGAGGGAACAGATTCTATAGTTCTAAGAACAGTTTCAAAGTACACAATACACAGATTTACAACTTATTTATTTTGCATCTTGCTTCCCAATTTTGCAGTCTATGCTTCACCGGCCTTCTTACTGGTACAGCCACCCGTCTTCCTCCATTTTCTATACTGCGTCTGTAAAGTTAAAATGTTTATTATTTTCAATATTCACGTTTCTCTACTTGTCCTTCCAACACTTTAGCTAGAGTAACTACAAGCCAAACTATTTCCTACTACAAACTATTCTCTAACCACCATTCTACCACAAATCTACGATGTTCTGAAAGTTATCGTTAGTAGTCACGTTTCCTCCCTTTATATTACTTTTACACGTTTTCACTAACAAAATGGCCCGTCAACCATACTTCATCGAATACCAATTTATACCATTTGACATTAAGACTGCTAAACACTTACCGTTATAGTCAACTGAAGAATATGTATATTCCTTCATTCTTCCTAACATTTACACTAACCAGTATGAAACTGCAGTATTCTTGCAAACTCTACGTTCAATATTTCTAGTGGCAAATTCTAGTGGTGCAGAAGCAACGCCTTCCACAGTTAGTCATCCCCCCCCCCTGCTAACTATTCATAATGCCCTAAACTATTTTCACCGAACACTATTAGGTCCTCCCAATTACAACGTCATGAACACTACCATTCATCCTTTACACTATCTTTGAATCATGCCGCTTCAAAGCTCATCTATCGATATTTCCCTACTAATTATGGTAGCCTATTCCATTAATTTCTATATTTTAACTGGCATTTTTACTGCCTCCTAAACCCAAGTCTCATAACTAGGACAACTAGTTAATACCAACTGTTTCTAATGTCCCACAGACGCTCTTTCTATAATTCTGCAGAATATTCTTTCCAACAGTTTCCTGCTAATGATAAATATTAACTGAACGTTTTAACAACTTGCCTTTTCTTTCAGATATTCCTGCAACGTTGCCAGCCGCCCCGTGTTCAACACCGTCCAACCACCTCTATCGAGACTTTCAGCTACGTCACGCCAGAACTAGTTCCGTGCCTTGTGACTGACTAGTCCTCCGTTCACTTTAAAGTTGTTTCTCAAGAAGACTCGTGGCCAATGTCGAGCCAGACCCTAGAAAAACAAACATTAAAGTTATTTATACCATTACAATGATTTATAAAGTATCAAATTTAATGAAAAAGTCTAAAGGTTATTTTTGTTCAACAAATTATAATTTCTATGTATAACATTGTATACCCTCGTCTTTGTAATCTTTGATATATAGGGCAACACCAGGGTACAAACTTTAGTACTAAACCTTTTGCAATGAATTTAAATTCTTAATTTGATACATTCATCCTAATGGCTTTTAGGTTGCCATTCCAAACAATATTACCACGCATTCTAGCGACTACCGATACCATGACTGATTAACATTACGCCCCCATAAGACGTGGCATGTCCACTAGTAGCCCGTAAATTACCGACATGCCAACACTTAATTACTTACAAAATTGACTGTCTGGGGAAAACAATGTGATCCCAGACACGCAGATTCCTACGTTTACCAATTACGGCACCACTGAATATAAACTTTACTGAAAGCTTTACAATACAACTCTCTCACTACTGAAGAAACCACATGAACTAGGAAAATTGCCCAAGTAGTGGGGGAGGGGTGGAAGAAAGATTTAATACAATACCAAAATAAAAAATTTCAATTTCTACCTAACCACAAACTATTAGGACCACTGTACCTGAAAATTTGTTTATCTGCTGCAATGGACACTACAGATATCAAGACTGAAGAAATTCAAATCTGCACAACTTGCCAAATACCCGGTCTTAACCAAAGTAATTCGGATGAAATTGGTTCCGCGAATTACATAACAGGCGAGTGTGGACTTCTGAAAAGTAAAAAAGTAGGTTTAATACCATTAAGTTTTAAAAGCATCAAGATTCATCGAAGCAGCCTAGTTCTGCGAGCCCGGGGGGGGGGGGGGGGGGGGGGGGGGGGCTGTGAAAACACCCTCAGACCATTAAGCCACAGAAGATACCCATAAACTGCCACCAACTACTACCAACGCTACGCCACAGGAATAAGCGGTACATTTAGTGCCTTGCAGTACCTAGAAGCCATTTAAAAATTTAAGTAATATGACAGCTGGCTAAAATTTAGCAACAAATCCCCAAAATTCTGCAGCAAGTTGTATCTTGCTCATTACTCTAATAATTATTGCATTTTAAACGGGCCACGTACTTAAATACCTTACGTACTGCCAGATATTTAGACTTGCCCGTTCTAATGCAGATTAAAAAAAAAAAAAAAATTGTGGACCAGCCACTTAATGCTGTACGGCTAAATCTTAAACGAAGCTAATTATTAATACTATTGTTAGGATACATCAACTAGGTTGCCATGTAAATAACTTTACCAATTCTATCATACGCCACCCAAATATCACCGTCCCTATAAAGGCATCACAGATAACAGAGCCCACATTACGCTACGCCAACAACCAGGTCACACCATAATTAAATATCGACACCTGCACCTTATATGAGTTAATACATTGAGCAATAAAGTCCACGGTAACCTTACCTGATGACCGGTGTAGCTGCAAATGAAGTAAGAAGCGGGACACCGCCTAAGGAACTACGTCTGTTGGCTGTCAGCCCGACACTGAGGCGACGCCGTCCGCTCCTGACCTTCTTGCCTAACACAGCGTCATTGGTGACGTCACAGTGCTTAACGACCATATCCTCGTGCTGTGCTAGTTAATGTATATGTTTATCTCTCAGAATGTTCGGTAATACGTTTATTGATGTGTGTCTATGTATGTAGTAACACGATGTACTGAACGGGGTGAGAATAGCTTGAGCTACCTCATCCCTTTGTGTGTATTTTACCTGAATAAACTTATTTCAATTTCAATTTCTCGTGCTGTGCTAGTTTGCGCTCCAATGCTTTACATCCCGTTAGTTACTTTTAATCAGTAATATTATAATTTAATGTAATAAGTAATATACCGATTTACTTTAATCAGTATATTATAAATCAAAACAGCGGTTAAAAACTTTCGAGATTCATAAATAATGGATTCAGGAACTCGTCCCGTGGTCTACATACAGCCTGTAGTAATTTTCGCCATTTTAATACTATATTAGCAATGTCAGACTGATTATTTTTAATAGAAACACAAGAAAAGAAGCCAGTATTTTTGATTGGCACTGTGTGTCAAGATTTCCTTAGATAAGAATATTCCTTAACAATTTAGAGAGACTTGCAGTTTTAATTCTTTATAAAATGATATGCTGAAATTTCGTTTAGAAACTAATTAATGTCTTAAGTGCTCTTCGTCAATCCTAATCAAGGCTAATATACTTTGAATACAGTAACAATGCAAGCCATAATTTCAACATTGTCAGAGGCTGTCATAAGGTGCAGATGTTTACTGGGAAAAACTGTAAAACATATAATACATAAAAACATGTATATACATTATGTCCAAACCTATGTACAGTGTTTTATAATCATAAATATCTTGAAATTTATGTTATTTTGGTCATTTGTAATATTCTCTTATTCTGCCTTTCACAAATTAGTGTGGTAAATTTTAAATCATAATCTACAATATATATTTGTTATTGACCTATAAATCTTTGCTAACAATTTATAAAGGAATCTGGAAAACACCTTATAATTACTGATGGACTACCCGTTGTGCTGTGAATCTCGCAGACATTACCTTACCTTACCTCAGCCGATGTTGTCGCTTTGTGTTAGATCACTCGCCCCCTCTTTGCACTCCCAGTTGACACTCTAAAATCTTTGGCTCTTACATCCTTGAAGGTGAAGTCTAGACTCCAACCCTAAAGGCACCTTGCCCTCAAGCTCTACCCCTTCCTAGTCCCACAGTCGTCGTCGCCCCTAAATTAACAAATGCACCCTTTCCTGGGTCTACAACCAATTGACTGAACATAATGGGCTGTGTTGCACCACACAACTTCCCCCATGCTCGAGTGGGGGAGTTGTGTATATTGACATAGCTCGAGTGCATGGGGAGAGTTGTGTAAAACCCTGGTTTGTGTCTCGGAGAGGCTGTAGGATCCAAGTAAGTTCAGTAGAACTTCTGGTTTCAACTCTTTTTTTTTTTTTTTTTTTACCATGTCATAGCTCAGTCGATTAAGGCAGCGTCTGGGATGCTCTCGGACGTAGGTTCATATATATATATATTATATATATAATATATATACATTATATATAATATATATACATTATATATAATATATATACATTATATATATATATATATATATATATATATATATATATATATATATACATTATATATAATATATATACATTATATATAATATATATATACATTATATATAATACATATATATATATAATTATATATAATACATATATATACATTATATATAATACATATATATATACATTATATATAATACATATATATACATTATATATAATACATATATATACATTATATATAATACATATATATATACATTATATATAATACATATATATATACATTATATATAATACATATATATATACATTATATATAATATATATATACATTATATATAATGTGTGTATATCACGAAAATAAACACGTGATTAAGATATATATATATACATATATATATGTATTATATATAATACATATATATATAATTATATATAATATATATATACATTATATATAATACATATATATATACATTACATATATACATTATATATAATACATATATATATACAATACATATATATATATACATTATATATAATACATATATATATATACATTATATATATACATTATATATAATACATATATATATACAATACATATAATACATATATATATATACATTATATATAATATATATATCATAATGTATATATATAATACATATATATATATATATATATATATATATATATATATATATATATATATATATATATATATATATATATATATATATATATATATATATATATATACATTATGACAATGTCAGACCACGGAGGAAAATGAAACAGGAATTTCCTTAAGTACTTTCGTATATTAAATACATCTTCAGAAGGAATGATTTTACAGATCGAGTGATGGGTATAAGTAGGCAGGAAAGAGTGGTGAAGTGGGGTGAGGTACAATACTTGGACAACGCAGACGGCCCATTGGCCCATCAGATGCACCCAATTGGCCCATCCGATGTAGCCCAATGGCCCATCTGATACAGCAGACATACAAGCATAATACATAGGTAATTATAACATAAAGAGGTAAATATATACAATGAATTAGTGAGACAAATGTTTTTCAATGATCCTACTTAAATCGCCCTTTAGCTGATCTATTAGAAATGTATCTAAGTTATATAGACCACTGCTAATATTCAAATTACTTTCTTTAGTGATCTGTATCAAAGCAGATTCAATTATGTTTCTGTTATAGGTGCTTTTACAATTTGTTATTGAAGAAGCACTCTCCCAATCAATTTGGTGAGCTTTTTCTGACAAATGCACAAACAAAGCATTAGACAATTGGCCATGTCTTACAGAGTATTTATGTTGCGATATTCTACATTTTAAATCTTTAGATGTTTGCCCGACATAGAACTTATTACATTCCTTACAAGGTATTTTATAAATGACGCAATTATCACTACGAGGGCTGTTCCTAACTAATAGCTTACCAACAGTGTTTTCGTAGCTAAACATTACATCTATATTAAAAAGTTTCAAGGCCTTGACAATATTCTCAAACCCAGAGAAATATGGTAAATATAACACATTCTTTGGGCGAATCCTTTCACTGCATACATTATTATAATATGTACGACGTGCTTTGTTACGACAAACTTCCAAAAAATTCAGTGGGTAACAAAGCTTAAGACCAATCGAATCAATATTCTTAAATTCTTCGTCTAAGAATTCTGGACTCACAACTCGAAGAGCTCTTAGATACATTGAAGAAAAAATTGACTTTTTTACATTGTATCTATGCCCTGAAAAATAATGAACATAAGATAAATTGTTCGTAGGTTTTCTGTAAACACTAAACTTTAATGAAGAGTTTTCCCTATGAATAAGCACATCTAAGAATGGCAAACATTTATCAATTTCAGTCTCCATAGTAAATTTTATGGAGGTGACTTGGTCATTAAGTTTCGCTACAAATTCGTCTGTGTTTACATCTGAAGGCCAAATACTCAAGATATCATCAACATATCTAAACCAAGGAATGATTCCAGGAGTTATTTTTGAAACAAATTTCTTTTCGAAGAATTCCATGTACAGGTTTGAGAGCAATGGCGATAGAGGATTCCCCATTGCCATTCCAAAAGTCTGTAAATAATACTCATTATTAAAGGTAAATTTACATTCTTTAATGCACAACTTAACAAGACTGACAATAATATCAGCAGAAAGAGGTAAGTCATGGCTCATTAGTTCACGAGCAAGATAATCGAGAATATCATCGACCGGTACCTTTGTGAACAAGGAACAAACGTCAAAACTGATTAACTTTACATCAGGAGTGACAGGAACACTATTCAATTTGTTAACTAAATCAAGAGAATTTGTCAAATGAGAAGAGGAGATAGTTCCTAACAATGGAGACAAGATTCTGGTAAGCCATTTGGAGAGTTTGTAAGAAATGGATCCCACAGAACTGATGATAGGTCTCATGGGATTGTTAGGCTTATGCGTCTTGACAAGTCCATATAGATATGGTAATGAAGGTGATGAAGTAGTAAATTGATTAAGAAGATCTTTATGTTTACTTAACAACTTCCTCAAGCTACTATTGAAGAACTTGATGATGTCCTCAAGAGGATTTTTCCTAAGCTTAGTGTACGTTGAAGAATCTAGGAGGAGATCATTCATTTTCGAAATATATTCCTCCTTGTTTAAAATAACAATAGTGCTGGATTTATCAGCCTTTGTTATATGAATGGAAGGGTCGGCTCTTAACTCCTGTAAGCTTCGTCTGAATCTTTCGGGAAAATTGTTTGTTTGGGGCGTCAACATTGAACCATAAACAATACCTTTAACCAGGTTTAGGTTTTGTGAAGACAGAGAGTTATGTTTTTCAAGCTGTAACAATGAACTAGCAATTTTAACTGCAGAAGGTTGATTTGAAATGGCAAAAGACATACCATAACCCAAAGCAGTAACCACATTTTCACATATCGTTTTGGACGACAGATTCAACACGCTGTTTGGATTAGATTTCTTGTTCCAATCACTATTTTTAATCAGGCTTTCTAACTTGCGCTTAAGAATTTTCTGTAACTGATTAATTTTTCCGCGTAAGTCCCCATTGTTAGGAACTATCTCCTCTTCTCATTTGACAAATTCTCTTGATTTAGTTAACAAATTGAATAGTGTTCCTGTCACTCCTGATGTAAAGTTAATCAGTTTTGACGTTTGTTCCTTGTTCACAAAGGTACCGGTCGATGATATTCTCGATTATCTTGCTCGTGAACTAATGAGCCATGACTTACCTCTTTCTGCTGATATTATTGTCAGTCTTGTTAAGTTGTGCATTAAAGAATGTAAATTTACCTTTAATAATGAGTATTATTTACAGACTTTTGGAATGGCAATGGGGAATCCTCTATCGCCATTGCTCTCAAACCTGTACATGGAATTCTTCGAAAAGAAATTTGTTTCAAAAATAACTCCTGGAATCATTCCTTGGTTTAGATATGTTGATGATATCTTGTGTATTTGGCCTTCAGATGTAAACACAGACGAAATTTGTAGCCAAACTTAATGACCAAGTCACCTCCATAAAATTTACTATGGAGACTGAAATTGATAAATGCTTGCCATTCTTAGATGTGCTTATTCATAGGGAAAACTCTTCATTAAAGTTTAGTGTTTACAGAAAACCTACGAACAATTTATCTTATGTTCATTATTTTTCAGGGCATAGATACAATGTAAAAAAGTCAATTTTTTCTTCAATGTATCTAAGAGCTCTTCGAGTTGTGAGTCCAGAATTCTTAGACGAAGAATTTAAGAACATTGATTCGATTGGTCTTAAGCTTTGTTACCCACTGAATTTTTTGGAAGTTTGTCGTAACAAAGCACGTCGTACATATTATAATAATGTATGCAGTGAAAGGATTCGCCCAAAGAATGTGTTATGTTTACCATATTTCTCTGGGTTTGAGAATATTGTCAAGGCCTTGAAACTTTTTAATATAGATGTAATGTTTAGCTACGAAAACACTGTTGGTAAGCTATTAGTTAGGAACAGCCCTCGTAGTGATAATTGCGTCATTTATAAAATACCTTGTAAGAAATGTAATAAGTTCTATGTCGGGCAAACATCTAAAGATTTAAAATGTAGAATATCGCAACATAAATACTCTGTAAGACATGGTCAATTGTCTAATGCTTTGTTTGTGCATTTGTCAGAAAAAGCTCACCAAATTGATTGGGAGAGTGCTTCTTCAATAACAAACTGTAAAAGCACCTATAACAGAAACATAATTGAATCTGCTTTGATACAGATCACTAAAGAAAGTAATTTGAATACCAGTATTAGCAGTGGTCTATATAACTTAGATCCATTTCTAATAGATCAGCTAAAGGGCGATTTAAGTAGGATTATTGAAAAACATTTGTCTCACTAATTCATTGTATATATTTACCTCTTTATGTTATAATTACCTATGTACTGTATTATGCTTGTATGTCTGCTGTATCAGATGGGCCATTGGGCTACATCGGATGGGCCCAATTGGGTGCATCTGATGGGCCAATGGGCCGTCTGCGTTGTCCAAGTATTGTACCTCACCCCACTTCACCACTCTTTCCTGCCTACTTATACCCATCACTCGATCTGTAAAATCATTCCTTCTGAAGATGTATTTAATATACGAAAGTACTTAAGGAAATTCCTGTTTCATTTTCCTCCGTGGTCTGACATTGTCACATTCTTAATCACGTGTTTATTTTCGTGATATACACACATATACATTATATATAATACATATATATACATTATATATAATATATAAACATATATAATATATATACATTATATATAATATATATATATACACATTATGATATATATATATATATATATATATATATATATATATATATATATATATATATATATATATATATATATACATATATGATATATATATATATATATACATATATATATAATACATATATATATATACATTACATATAATACATATTATACATATATAATACATATACATTATATATAATACATATACATTATATATAATATATATATATACATTATATATAATACTTATACACATTATATATAATACTTATACACATTATATATAATACTTATACACATTATATATAATGTATATATATATATACATTATATATAATATATACATTATATATAATATATATACATTATATATAATATATAATTATATATAATATATATACATTATATATATACACATATATATATATACATTATATATAATACATATATACACATTAAATATAATACATATACATTTATATATATATATATATACTATATAATTTATATATATATATATTATATAAAATATATATATTATAATATATATATATTATATCATACATACATATATATATTATATATATATATTATATATATAATATATATTATTTAGCATCCCCGCGGCTCGGTCGTCAACCAGGCCTCCTAAATATATAATATTCATAATGATTCACATTCGAATATATACAATATATATAACATATTATATATTTAATATATATATTATATTGTACGTATATATATATTTATATATATATATATAATATAATATATATTATATATAATGAATAGGATTTATATCCTGTTACAAAAAGCCACAAATACAAAATGTTTACTTTTTTTCTTTTTACTTTTTATTTTTTAATACATAAATCTCATATAAATATATACTATATAATGTGTGTGTGGGGGGTGTTATTGACTATGCAAGTAGCTTAGAAAGTGGGGCTGTAATACAGTGGTTTGTCTGTATATTCAAGACCTGTTTGTGTGTGTGTTTATACAGGCATTGTGTTAGTAGTATGTAATCGCCAGCATATAATGTATGTTAATACACAAATTAAATCTAAAGTGAACTAATAAAGAAGTTTTGGTTGTTAAGCAACTCTGGATGGATTAAAGTTATGATAGAAATGTGTGCTGTATGTATATACTGTATTATTTTGTGTGTGTGAGTTCTGAGTGGGTGAAATCTTCAATCAATTAAATTAGGTATTCTGCATATGCATCAGATATTTCAGTTAACAGAATTACATATCTAGCGTGAATATATAACTATTCATTTAATAATATATTTGGGACACTGAAAAGCATCCACTCAAAAGAAAAAATGAATACAAAAAAACTGTCCCTGAACATGTTACATAAGACATCTGAACTTTAATATAAAATTCTAATGTCAAGGTATTGTGAAAATAATTATTGTAGGGGTTTCTTATATTCATTCAAGAATATCAACTTGCCTATGTCCTTTGTTGACTGTTTACACAGCATTTAATGCAGTGACATTGCCAGGACAAGTTATTCCTGACTACCACACTGCCTAAAACCTCAATTTATTTTGTTTAACTTGAAAATAGTTTTCAAATGGGAGGTATTATGGTTATGACAAACTTGGATAATAGTTTCTCTAAGATTTTTAGAGACTTCATTTAAAAATTTTATAAATGGAATATGATTTTTTCTGTGCAATATTCAAAATAAATAAATTAGGCTTCTAAATACAATGTGCAATATTTCAAATAGATTTTATGGTCAAGAGGACAGGTTTTATAATTAAAATCTTAAATCGTATTTCTTTAAATACTTTAACTCTGCAGATATATATTTTCTGTACTTGAAATACAGAGATACAAAATGAATGCCTTTTCCCATTCTTGTAATGAATAAAATGTTTAGTGAAATGTATAAATCATAACCAAGAATTAATTTTGTACTTTGTTAAAGGTAATCTTGATACATATGATTAACTATTTTCAATTTAAATATTTTCTAGCTTTATCTTTGATGCACTGTTCTCTCTCTGAATTTAGGAAGGATCACATGTAGAATCTTTTCCGAGCACTTCATCCTGACTGAAGTTACTCTAGTGAAAGGTTTTACATGCTGGTTTAGCTATCACATTTATCAAACAGTTGCCATTAGCAGTGTGAAACAAACATGTTTGCTTTCATTTGTAACTCTACCTGAGAGCCAGCATATAACTGGAATAAAACATACTATCAATTTAGATAAATAACAAACCATTAAGATTTTATAAAACAATCTCTTAAAATTCAATCAACGCCGTTTGATTTTTGAAAAACCAAATTCTTAAATTATTCAACTGACACTCAAGTCTGAAAAAATCCAGAAAATTCATTAGGCAACATGCATGTCTGAGATCAATACATATAAAAATGGTCCTTTCAACCATATGCCCTCTATTTACACTGCCTATAGGACTTTATTTTTGCACTGAAAGTTTCCCTATTCGTCCCTTGCCCCAATGTGGCACAATATCCACTGAAAACTGTTCTCTAATATTTACCTAAAATACTTATAACAATTTACGTACATAATGATTTCCATGTTGTATTACAATTTACGTACATAATATTTTCCCATGTTGCATTAATAAAAAATAAACCTGAAATTCATGTACAAAGAATTTAAATGATTATGAGTAAGCTGTGACGTCAAGCAACAAAACATGTATAAATGAGATCTTGCTTTATTTGTGTGCAGTTATGCTACACTTGGGAGATGTTATCACAGCCTTTGTAACTCAATAAAATTGCTACCAGTAGCCCTAGCCTCAAGTACTGTACTTTCAAGTTTTAGATGCAAGTTTTATATACAATATAACAGCGATGAACAGATGGGGCAACTACAATCTGATCAATCTAGCTTGACAAGTGTTACTGGTAAACTGCCAAATTATTAACTGTAAATCACAAAGCATTGAGAACCCTCAGGAACACCAAATACATCATTTTAAGGTATACAACTTTAGCTTCTTCACACTTGTGACTTACAGTAATATATCCAGTACCAAATAAACATGTTTTCCATTGCCTAACTTTTAGATTTTAATGTCAAAAGAATATTACAGCACCATGCAGGATTTCCCTCATCAACATGGTGTCATAGCACCATAAAGTCTCTTACTGCATTGCACCAAGTCTTAGGAGCTGAAGATGAACTGTAGTAAAACATCATCAAACGACAGGTCATGGTGTGAGGGGTACATTTCAATGATGTGAATCCTGGATTATAATTATGCAGTAAACTTGGGCAAGGTAAGAATCTCACTATTTGGGGTCGTCTTTGCCTCTAGGCTTATTACTAGCACTTGGATCCATAGAGTGGCTGGGGGAAGACCGGGGAACCAAAAGAATACTGCCATCTGCCGACTGTTGCAATGAATATTCATGTGGAGAGTACGGGTTACCATCAGGATCTCGGAGGCTCTGGGGGGGAATACAAAAATAATTGCTATAGTATGAGGTTCTTAACACTATCGCACTCCGTTGCCTCCCCCTGTAGTCTCCTTTTTCTCGAGTCATCTCGGGTGACTAGGTCTCGAGTCACTTATTCAAATATTTGTTAAAAATATAAATTTTATCCAATCAATCTGGGAGTGGTTTCAAAACGATTGCCTTTAGATTGCACATAATTTGATACCAAAATGAAAGTCGTAACACAAAAATTGATGTTATCAAATTGAACGAATATATACATTAGTTTGCAGGTGTGCCAATTGGTGCTCGTTCACGGGTAACTTGGCCAACTTTAAGCTTTGCTGTGAGTCGTGCCAGGCTTTTAGACCTTATATGCATATACCCCTGTAGAGAAATCTATTGCAAACATAATGATACCAAAACGAACTACGTAGCCCGAGAATTAAGGTGGGAAAACTGAAACGAGTACACACATTTCGGTGTCACCGCACGCTCGCTCAAACAGTCAGGAGCAGACTGTCTGTCATAGTCTGCGACGTGCCCGAACCGCGTGCGATAGTGTTAAGAACATGTAATTTAAAAACAGCAAATATGACATACCTGTACTGAATATAGGATAACAAAATTATTTATAACCATAAAGGGAATATGTATGAAAAAATGTAGTGCTTTTATGTAAATCATCAAAAGTATAAATACTGAAATATAGTTCTGTACTTTAAATGTAAGGTAAAAGGTAAATACAGGTAAAAGGAATATGAAATGTAAGGTGAAAAACAATGTCTTTATAATACTGGTTACTCTATATAGGTCAAACATCCAAAGACTTGATTTCTAATTTTGGAGCATAAATATTTTGTAAGATGTGGTCAAATATCCATTGCTTTATTTGTTCGTTTGCCAGAAAACTCATGCCAAATTGTTTTGAGATATTTCAATCACACATTGAATCACTTACTGTAAAACTATTTTTAATAGAAACATTATTAATTCATTTTAATACAAAGTGACATAACATGAATATTAGTACTGCAATGATTTATGCACTTTGGATCCATGTTTAATGGATCACTTAAAAAAAAAATCATCTTGATAAGACGATTAACCCTTAAACTGCACAAAACTGCATATTTAGTTTTGAGTAACTGACACAAAAGTGTGCAACACTGCATATGCAGTTTTGGCCATTTGCCCGCGGATACATGGGGTTCACATCACCTTCCTCAGGGCTCTTGTAAACATACGCCATTTTAAAAAAAATCATAGGAAACATTCCTGGGTGTGAAAGCCTCAGTACTGAGTGAGCCACCAAGGCTGGTGCATGCAGCTTGAGCTCTCAGCATTGCTGTTCAGCTTGTGATCACAGCATCGCCTAAAAATGCCAAAAATACATGTAACTGGTATTATTTAGCGATGATAGTAGCACAGAAGATCCCTGACTGATATAAATGACCAGGAGTCTGATAATAGCAGGATTATTGTGATAATTTTCACTGTGCTGTGGGTGGAGTAAAGTTGAGGGTGGGAGGGCTGTAGTGTCGTCTGCCAAATTTGTGTGGCTACCTGTTGCTATCACCATACCAGCTTAGTGGTTCGCAACGGTGAACAAAACATGCAGATACTTATGTATAACGTTTGTATATAGTGAATAAAAACAAAAACAGTATGGTGGGAGAATGTGGGTGAGTCAGGTGAGGTGAGGTGAGGGAGCGGCGGCCAGTGGCTGGCTGCCTAATGTGTGGAGGCCACTCTTTGCTGTCGTTTGATTCACCATACCAACTTAGTGGATCGTTATGGTGAACACAAATGTAGATACTTATATATAATATGTATATATAGTGTAACAACACCAACAAGGAGTATTGGGAGAAGCCATTTTAGTGAGGGAGGTGGCAACATCTGCATGACTTGTCATGCTGGGTAAGGGTGGCCACTATGCTCTTTGGGCACTATACCAGCTTAGTTGAAAAGTTATGGTGAACAAAACATGTAGATACTTATATATAATGTGTGTGTATATATAGTGTAATAACACCACAAACAGTATACTTGAAGGAGGAATGTTAGTGCATTTGGCCTTGAACCACTGAAGGAGGGAGCATTAGTTGTGTGTGGCCACCTGTTACTGTCTGCTGTCACCATACGAGATTAGTGGTTCACTATGGTGAACACAAATGTAGACACTTATATATATAACGTGTATATATAGTGTAATAACAGCAAAAGAAGTGTTGGGAGAAGCCATTGTGGTGAGGAAGGTGGCATCATCTTCCTGACTTGTCATGCTGTGAAAGGGTGGCCACTATGCTCTTTATGCACTATGCCAGCTTAGATGAACAGTTATGGTGAACAAAACATACAGATGATTATATATAATGTCTGTATGTAGTGAATAAAAGCAAAAACAGTATGGTGGGAGGAGGATGCTGGCGAGTGAAGAGTTTTTGAGCGAGTGAGTGGTAGCAAGTGGCTGGCTGGCCACTCCTCGTTGCTGTCTGACTTACAATATCAACTTAGTGGTTCATTATGGTGAACAATACATGCAGATACTTATATATAACCTGTGTATATAATGTAATAACCACAAAAGGATTTATTTATTGTTTTATAAACATAATAATTGAATCAATGATATACACACCATAATTTTGAGCACAGCGATGATTCACACATTTTATTATATAAATATATCACACTACACACTATTGAATAATATTACTGCAAAATAACTAAGAAAAAATCAGAGACATTGAAATAATTAGGTAATTATATCTTTGTGGCAACTCCCGCCTGACAGCTGGAGTGAAGCAGAACTCTTCCAATGCTTGCCGAGTCAGCGCCTCTTTTTTGCCAGACTTCCCCGACCTATAGTGGCCAAAATATGCCACTTACGATAATTTTAATATTTTTCCCGTGATCAGGGAACACAAATTAACAGGTTTATAAGAACGAAAAAAAAAATTGATTCTGTTTTATGCGTCTGTGGGTGTGAAAGGCCAATTAGCAGCTTGGAGGTTAATAGACAACTATCCCAATAGGGACATTACTTCCAGGAACTCGCATAACACACAAAAGAAAATGGTAAAAAACTGTAAACTGCAGAAAATGATCTAATGTTAATAAACTAATATTATAAAAACTGTGTTTCCACTATATGTCACCTGTCTTCCTATTTACAATACAGTATATACATGTACTGTATTGTTCATCATGTGTTAGTTTAATAATTTCTACACACATCACTCTGGTCACAGTCCTAAGGGTATGAGTTCGATTCTCAATCGAGGCAGAAACAAATGGGCAGAGTTTCTTTCACCTGATGACCCTATTTGCCTAGCAGTAAATGGATACCTTGGAGTTAGACAGCTGTTTAACTCCCAGGCTGCATTCTTGAGACATGTGTGTGTTAGAAAAAAATGTAGTAGGTATGATGGAGGAAGAGAGGTTGGGAGTCAGTCAATTAGGCAACCGACAGTTAGAAAGGCGGGGCCCAAGAGCTAACAGCTCGATCCTGCAGGCACAAATCCTACACACACACACACTAAAATTAAAGTGGTACCTGTCGGCCCACCTTGGACCCTTATCAAGTCGTAACTGAATAAGAGTGGGAAGGGGAGAGGTGTTCACTATAAGGCAAGAGGGAAGGTGAGGTGACAGGAAATGGGGGGTAAAGCATGTAAACGGAGCTAACATCTGAATGCTGATACACAGGAGATTAGGTCAACCAGTCACATGAAGGCTACTGGAATCATCTTGTTCCTTACATGATTGTCACAGATTTATATAAATTTAATTACCAATAATAATAATAATAATAATATTGGAGAAACTTACTACAGTGCCATAGTGCTTGAATGAGGGTGAAGGAAATGCCAAACATGTGTTAAATTAATTTAAAAAAATAATTTTCAGATGTTACCTACATCTTTTCTCAAGGTGCTGTATACAATGTGATATAGGTTACATCTGAAAATTTAGTTTTAATACACTTACATACTGGGTTTTTCCTTCAAGCACTATGGCATTATATTAAATTTTTCCATTATTATTATTGTTGTTATTGGTAATGATAAAATCTAGGGGGCAGGCTTCAGATGAGCTGAGGTAGGATGACAGCTCTTGCTTGCAGTTTCACTAAGTACTTCACCTAACAGCCCTATGTCTTGGATAAAAAAAATAAAGATACTGAAGAAGGCTTATTGGCCCAAACAAGACAGTTTCCTACGCAGAGGAACTACATAACCTAAAAGCAAGTAGAAAAGGGGGAAGACAGAAAATCAAAATAGAGAGATGAACCAATAAACCTTTATAGTTTCTTTCATTATGATGTTAGCGCAGTTTTCATGCTATATCTCTTCACTTTTGCCCCTTCCCTTACCTTCCCATACTTACCAATAACATGCGTATATACGAACTGTGCCACCTTAATTTCTTTATAAGCATACATAAGTTTGTTCTAAACTACTGGAATGTCAGAAGCAGCTATATACAAACTAATGTAGTAATTTTTTTAGTTAACATACTTGGAAGATGTGGCGGTACAACAATGAGAATTTGTGCTTTATACGGGTCCGTTCGCCGTTTAAGTATTCAAATTCATTGTAAAGATCATTTTTGCGGGTCTGGATTGCCTTCACCTCATCTGCCAGATGCAGGATCTGGTCTAGTTTACGCTTACGACAATTTTGTGCAGCAACCTGGAAGGAAAATAGAACATGTTTTTAATTAAAGATAAACTTATGGCAGGCACATTTTGTTCAAAACATTCAAAAGCAATGGCTACAGACATACATATGCCCATTGTGTGTGTTTGTGTCCTTTTCCACTACCATCCCCACAGGATAGGTATGGGGTGCATAATAAATGAACTAAACTAATTAATCTTAAATCCTTTAGTCATGTATCATAATATTTGTATTGCTTACAAATACAATGTATTTTGTGAAATTCATACAGATGTTTGTGTTTCACAAAACATAAATAAAGGCAAAGGCAATTCTTTGACTTTAACTATTTTGATGTAAATGGTGTGTATCAAATTAGCAAGCACGGACAGACTAAGCAAGCAGACAAAAAGTGAATTGAATTTCACTTCTGTTTTCTTCCATAATTAAGAACACTGTAAGGCAGCATTGTTAGACAACAGCAAGACTACACTGACTAAAAAAGGGCATGTTAAAATAACTGGGATTTGCAGCCTATTTTCACAACACCACACTGTTGATTATAAAATATCTATAGCTTAACAAGCCCAGAGATTCTTAGAAATTTTGCCCCTATTTAAAGAATATGCAACCAAATAAATATGTAATGGTTTTTCATTTGTTGTGCTAGAGAATCACCACTCTTTTCTTAATAAAAATTCAAGTGTCTCCCATACTGATTTACGTGGTAATTGGTGTAATGATGAGTAACAAAATGTTATATTCCCCCCCACTAAGGTCCAAATGTGTCTCCATATGATAAAAGTAAGAAACACTAATTTTTTTTAAATAAATGGGATGTAATGCAGTTCAAATTAGCTGAAAATACAGTATATAAACCTGCAAATACCAGGGGCCAGATTCATGAAGCAGTTACGCAAGTACTTACGAACATGTACATCTTTCCTCAAATTTTGATGGCTTTGGTTACATTTATTAAACAGTTTGCAAGCATGAAAACTTGCCAATCAACTGTTGTTATTGTTATGATAAACAACCTCCTGGTGCTTCGGAGCTCATTAGCTGTTTAATAATTGTAAACAAAGCCGCCAAAGATTGAGAAAAGATGTACAGGTTCATAAGTGTTTGCGTAACTTCATGAATCTAGCCCGTCTTTCAAGTGTCTCAATTACTTATACAGTCTATGCTTTCTAACTAGTTTGGCAAATCAAAATGACTGTGGTTATTAATACAAAAGCAGAGCCAAACTATCTTCACATGCTGCTCACACAGTGTGCAAGTAATGACTCAAACAGCAATTGGCATCCTTGCAAATACTGTATTGTAAGATTTGGCAACCGGAGAGTTATGAGAAAACCATTTTTGGGGAGAGGATGTTGAAAGTGAGATCTATATACTGTACATATTATTATAGTTATTTATACAGGTATTAGAAAAATACTCTTCGTATTACTTGATTACTGTAATTATTTATATTTCAATTATTGTCCAGTATTTGCAAGCCACTTTACTATCAAAATATGTACAAATTCATTATTAGTGCTAATGCAAAACAAACAATTTAGGTCAAACAAATATTATAGCAGCTCAAAAACGCAGATATAATCCACACAACCACACTCTATGCCAGGTAAGTCCACTACGGGCTCACCATAGCCCGTGCTACTTGGAACTTTTCGTTTCAAGTAGCCGAATCTAAAACAACAACAACACACTTCAACAGCTAATTAAAATGGGTAATTGTATATTCATATCTATTCATACTGTACTGTATAGTACTTGCTAAAATCCATTAGATCCTTAAACATGATTCTATTCTTCCTTTCTAAATGAAAGGAAAACACTAAACAGAAAAAGAAAAAGCAAGGAAATACTGTACCTCTTAATTTTGTACATGTAAAGAATAACAATTGGCTAAATACTGCAATGTAATTATTAAAACTTCTCAAATTCACACCTTATTTTTGCCACGACGGCGAATATCTCGGATGAGAGAGAGCTGCGCCTCAGTCAAGTCATATTTAGAGATGCGCTCATTAAATTCATCCATAGGTAGATTGATGATATCTTCACAAGTAATTGGGAGGTTCATGTTCCGCGCGCGTTTCTCATCCCGGGTTAATGTTCGTTCATGCTCATTTTTCCGATCTGAAAAACAAATATTAAAATATAACCAAATAAAAAAAAATTATTTTTCCATTTTGCAGGTTAACACATTACAGTATATATTTACTGTAATCAAAACTAGTACATACATAAATTTGTAACTGATTACACTATGTAAAAATATTTGTCCCTGAGTATTGTTATTTTCTAATTGCTTATTCCTTCAAAGTATAGAAAAATGACTATGATTCCCCTCAAACTTGACTTTGACCTTTGCTAGACAACTTAGTGAAGTTGGCCACAGGCATTGTCATCTCAATCATGACTAAGTCCAACCAACCCGCAATGACCCAATGCAGTGCCGGGGAGGACTCCTGACCCAACAGGCTTGACCACAAATATGGGGAAGGAACTAATCAGCTCCACCAAAGGCCACAGGAAACAGCCCAAGAGGTGACAAATCGTGGGACCAGAAGCTGGCAAAACAAGTAGACACCCCTCCCCCTACAATACCATAAAAGAGGCAAACTGTGAAATGGACAACTACAGGCTACACCTGCCAAACCCTGACCCGACCCTGAACCCTCAATGACTTTGGAGTCAGAATCAAGGACAGTAAGACCAAAAGCAGGGCAAACTATACCTGCAGGGAAAAGCAGATTAATATACCATGAATACCTATCATGAGCAAACCTTGCATACAAAGCAGCAGCTGCTTGTAAATTCTCCAATCGATAAGCAGAATCCATAAGCGCAAAAACCCAGTGAGTACAAACCTCACAAGACTCATGGTTGTAGGTGTCACTGACCCAACAAGCAGCATGGTGGGACAAAAAAAATAGGAATAACAAAAAATGTTATGAATAGGCCCTTAACAGGCCTATTCATAACAAATATGGCAGAAACCCCCCAGGGCTTGAAGGCAGTTAACTGAGACTCTTTACCCCTAGTAGCCAGGCCTCTCAGGAGCGAACTCTTGAACACACCAGAAAAGGTACAGTGACTCCGACTGTGCAAGGAGTTGCATTAGTGGATACTCAAGTGAAGAAAACCACCCTAAGCTCACGCAGCCCAAAATTCAACAAGAGCCAAGCCCACACAAAAAGCCAGAACGAAAACGCGCACATACTAAAATACAGAATACCCAAGAGAGAAAACGACCCCGGCAGGACAAGGGTGTCCAAGTATGGCCAGCACTTGGCTTGAAGCAGAGGGGCTTGTCCATGATCTAACAGACCGGAACACTACAGGCAGCTCCACACTGCCTATAGTTACTTCATCAGCAACAGAACTGAGATGGGGAGTCAGCAGAGGGTTGGGGTGGTGGTAATCGGTACTAAAGAATTTCAAGCTAGCTTGAGTGAATCTCTAGTTCTATGTGAATCATTTATGGAGTCATCTGGCAGTTTCAACGATTTGTTTTCTGTGAACCCTCTAGTTGTCTGTAAAGTTCCACTGATTTTCTGGAAGCTATTCCTGGTGTGGGTGGCAGATTGGCACCCACTCCCCGAGTCTCTCTGAGGGCGCTCAGGTTCAGGCCCTTGGTACGCCAAACAGAATTTCTGTGACTGATGTGACCTTTTTGTATGGAGCAATCTCAGCAAGATAATTTCAGCGAGCCATTGGGGGGAAGGGGGGGGGGGGGGAAGCTCCCTCCAGAATAAAAATTGTTACAGTGTTACTGACACACAATACCATATGCAGTACATACATTATTCGAATTGGGGGTCATCCCCATATGATTTTAATTAATGAGCTTTGAGAGTATTGTGCTGTAATGGTTTGAGACTGCCTTTATAAACAAACTAAATTGTTTCATAGTCTATTTTATTAATAATCCTTAAAATTATACAGAAAGATGATATTCATTTCATTGACTATATAGTGTATTTTCTGCTATCAATCTATTCTAAAAAATATGTAATAGCTGCAACTGAGGCCTTCATAGAATTGATATTACATTACAGTACAGTACTTACTTCTTTGCTTGTCTCTTGCAGTAGGTCTCGTAAGTCCTGATGGACCTTCTGGGGACATATGATACGTGTGATTATGTTGGACGTGTTCCACTCCAGAGCCAGACACTTCTGAAAAGAAAACATTAGATTTTTTTTTTGAGAAAGCAATACTTTTAATATCTTATAAAGTCTCAAGGTACAGTACAATAACTAATTAAAACCCCCAAATATTTGAATTAATACTTGTTCAGTGCAAGCATTCATTCAAATAAATTATAAAGTGCAGCTGCTGTATCTTCAAGTACCACTCTGCATGTGCAGTTTTTTTTTAGTATAGAATGATACATTTTTTATGCAAAAATAAAAGAACAAAAAAAAAAAAAGGAAAAATATTTCACTCTGGTTATACAGTGGCATAGCTGCCAAATGGAGGTCAATGAGCATTATCGGCAGTAGACGGTAGATAAGCAGTTTGCTTTCTAGAGAGAGGACTCCAATGGTCATGTTGGATAGTTTTCGTTTTTGCAACTTTACTTATTAGTTCACATTATATTTGTGTTGAATACCTCAAAATTTTAATGTTAATAGCAATTAAATACAGTACTCTATATAGACCTAAAATGTAATATGTACACCTATAGCCGAGAAAACATTAGAAAGTTCTCTTTTGCAGAGTGGTAGACAGTTGGACCAAGTTAAGTGAGAAAGTAGATGATGCTTAAACCATCATTAGTTTCAAAGTCATATAACAGAGAACTGGGAAAAAGACGGGACACCACGAAACATGGCTCTTATCTTGTAACTGCACTTAGGTAATTACATAACGTATCCCTTTCACAGCTCAAACACAGGCAAGTAAGAGCAAATTGTGATTTGATTATTGCAGGCCACTAATACACAATTAATAATGATGACATACATACTGGGCAATACCTAAAATTGGTAAATCCCTTTAACTACATTTGCCCAGGGTTCAACATGACAACTGCTCTAAGTATTAAATGCATACCTCACAACAATGTAAAATTCTCACCTCAGATTTAGAATATAAATTTGATCTGGATTCATAACTGATTTTACCTAGACACCTAGAGTGACTATACAGTATAGTAATTTCCAGCTGATCTTTTTTTCCCACTATTTTTACTTCTGAATTCTTGTTATTTCTATAGTAATGTATTATAAATATATATGTTAAATGTCTTACTAAACTTGTACTGTAGAATTAATGGTACAATATAGTTTGTATTATCTGGCTTTTTTGTTAAAATCTTTTATTCCTGAATTTTCATTTGAACAAGCAATTCAGTCTGCTAGGGCTTATTACAAATCATGGTAATGATTTGGGTATCATAGGTACCAAATCAATTAATCAAGTTACCATACGGAGGTATGTAATGACATGTATTGGCAAGTCCCTTGGTATCTCGCTGTTCCCACCTTACCTATGTAAGTTTGGGGGTCTCACATGAATGGTACAATTAGTGTTCTGGGTTAATGAATGGTTGGGGCTGCCATCTGGTGTCAAGCGAGTGGTACGAACCAGTAATTTGTTAATGATCATTTACATAACGGTCAATGTTGCAAATGTAATATGTGCAGTTGTGTTTTTGTACACCATGTCTCTGATGGTTTTTTCTTAGTTACTGTGGTGACCCTAGGTCCCCAGACTTTTTCAGACAAGACTTCCTAGATCCTTTTTCTTTATTGAGTGGACCAAATTTTGGTACAAGTCTTTGAATTGTTTGAGCCTTGTGTGACATTAAAAATTTAACAGGGGCCAGATTCACGAAGCAGTTACGCAAGTACTTACGAACCTGTACATCATCTCTCAATCTTTGGTGGCTTTGTTTATAATTATTAAACAGTTAATGAGCTCTGAAGCACCAGGAAGCTGTTTATAACAGTAACAACAGTTGATTGAGAAGTTTTCATGTTTGTAAACTGTTAAATAAATGTAACCAAAGCCGTCAAAGATTGAGGAAAGATGTACACGTTCGTAAGTACTTGCATAACTGCTCAATAACACCCTAAGTTATCTCACCTTGGAAAACACGGTAGAAAATAGCTAACGCTTACTGTGAGGAGGGAACTCAGCATTTGCCTTCCTGCCCAATTACAAGCAAGCATAGCACTGACTTGGCACAATGCCCAAGTAATGAGCCATGAACTCTTGCCAGAACATCATGAGCCACATGCCAAAATATTAACCAATGCCATACCAGAAATGCAAACAAAGGACACAAGGCTGCATACTTATAGCCATCGTGAGCCTAAGGGAACATGCCCAGTTGACTTGACTACACCCTGGACTGATTGAGACTAGATCACAAACCCAATGACTTCCCCATCCACTTTCCTCCCAGTGCATATGAGTAAAAATTCCTTGCATTTGCATGCAAATGTATTAAGTTTTTTTTTTTTTTTTTTTTACACACACATGCAGTGGCACTTTTCATAATATCAGCACTCCAAGGGTTAACAGTTACCTGTACATAATTAATATATTTTGTGTAATTATTTTCATTTCAAGTGTAACTAGCAACCCCTTGCAAAAACCCCAAAATTAATATTTTGAAAATATTGAACTAGCCTTGATACAAAGCATTAAAGAATTGTAAATGGGACCTTTGCCAATAAACACCTAAAACATTCATGCCGGTAACTTTCCCTCACTATATCAAACTTCCAGTAACATCTCAGATAAGAAAATCTATAAAAGTACTAGAATGTTCACAATACACCAAAAAACTAAATTGATTATTTTATTAAATGCATTAAAATGAAACCATTATTTTAGGTTATTTTTTTTTTTTTTTTTTTTTTTTTTTTTTTTTTTAGATATATACAAGAGTTGTTACATTCTTGTACAGCCACTAGTACGCGTAGCGTTTCGGGCAGGTCCCTGGAATACGATCCCCTGCCGCGAAGAATCGTTTTTTCATCCAAGTACACATTTTACTGTTGCGTTAAACAGAGGCTACAGTTAAGGAATTGCGCCCAGTAAATCCTACCCGGTCAGGATACGAACCCATGACTTAGCGCTCGCGGAACGCCAGGCGAGTGTCTTACCACTACACCACGGAGACTGTATAAATAAGACTGTGACTTAATAAAAAGTATCACTTTAGTGACAGACCAGAAGCTGAATTAAATAAAACAAGGATTTACTCAGTGATGGTAGAAAGTAAACCAAACACACTACAAGCACCTCCATCATAACTACAAGCAAGTATTTAAGCACCAAATACAACAGCCTAGGCAAAGCCCTAAATTTTGGCTCCCTAAATACACAGGTAACTGCTTGCACACACACACACATTAGTTCTCTCTCTACTCATAAAAATCAATCTATATGTCTATTGTAGTGTATTCAAAGTACTGTACTTCAAAGAATAAAAGTTTTTTTTGTCTAAATCTGGCTCTAAGGGAATACAAACTCATTTATTATTCATATTACTGTATTTACTTATAAGTTGGGACAAGTTCAAAAGTTTACATGTACAGTGTTGTTATTAGCAATATACAACCAGAAATATACACTTATTTTAGAACTACATTATATTACCTTACACTTTATAGTTGTTATTACCTGGGACTAATTTAGCAAACGTCTTGAAGAAACTGAATGATTCTCGCATCTGTGGCCGGCATATGGCCGGTGGGCTATCTTCACTCCCACCCATCCTGCTCATTAACTTATTACCATAACTATATGTAAGGCCTCCTTCACCACAATTCCCTCGGCATTTACCAGTAACAGAAGAATTAAAATGGACACATTAATGCTTAGGGGACAATTAATCAATCACCAGGTGACATTACTTAGCTATAATAGGCTTGTTCTTGGATTTCTTTGAGGGATAATTGTCTTTTGTTGTAACTGTTGCAACATCAAGACCACTGATGGCAATGACTGACAGGAATGTCATCAAATTACATAAGACTGAACATTAGAATTAGCAACATTTAAAGTTTGAAATGTTCAGTAATATCACGGTATCATAAGGCACCATCCAAGATTACATGAATGTACTGTACATAACCCATTAATTACATTATAAAAGTCTGTGACAGTAATGTATAACTAATTTTCTTTGTACATTACAGCATACAAAAAATACAAAGGTGGTGAAAATTGAGCTAAAATGCAATACGCATATAATCTAAAACAGCCTTGAATGTTTAAAAACTGTCGAGATTAGTTAACTTAAGTAGTGGAGGGCACCTTACAGCTAGTGGAAATATAGTTAAGCTCACAGGGTGGCGTGGGCACTGGTATATGGTGAAAATGTTTTGCGGGCACCACCTGATATAGGCTACCAGGATGAGCAAAGAGAGCAAATGGTATGGTCTAATGTGGATGCCTTCACGTGTGTGATCCCAAGATATAGTGCAAAAGCACCTCCTGGTACAGTACAAGGGTGGTGAGAGAACACCTCTCGGTATATATGACCGCAAGTTATGGTGTGGGCGCCACCTGGTATATGATCACAGATGGTGTATAAGCGTCTTGGTACAAGATCACAGGACAGCTGGTATACATTCACTGGTAGAGGACACCTTCCAGTATATAGTGACAGGTGGTATGGGCGCCGCCTGGTGTATTATCACAGGGTCATGTGGTCATTTGGTAACCTAAACCATCACAGGTGGTAATGGGTGCCTTCCAGTAGCCATTCACAGGTTGTGGTGTGGGCACCTCCCGGCATATGATCACAGGTGGTGTGGGCGCCTCCTGGTATGAACGACTCATACCAAGAGGCTGACTCACGCCAAATCACCCATGTTGATGCTGTCAGGAGAACCTATCTCTCTCCCACCTCGCGTCGTCTTCAAAACTGTCACACCAAAAACCACAGTTATCAGGAGGTATGCCAAGGTGTCCTCCGAGCCAGGAGAACCGCTGTTACCGACGCCTGTGCAACAAGAAGGGTGCAAGAGGTGCAACAAACCCCCCCAGCACACGGACCGCGCCACTGCGCAACGTCGTATGGTACATTGTTTACCACAGCAGCTGACCCTGGTGCCAACACACCAATAACCACCCCTATTTACATATCCCTTCGATAACCCTCATGCGGTAGCATAAACCCATGTAAAAGCATTCAACAGAAGAAAAGCATCCATAATGCAATTTTTCTAGCAGAAAATGTGTTTACAAGTTAAAAAATGATTCAATAAGAGACGACAACTGAGCGCCCGGCGCTCCATCTGTGGGCCGCCTCACGCACCACAATTGTGCAACGTCATCCCGACTGGTCCACTTTCAACACGGGACCAAAAATGAGGACAACTCCGGTTGGTTATGGCTCGAGCAGGTAGCCGTAACTCTCTACACACCATATTACTCTACACTCTAATATTTAACCCTACTCTGCATTTAGACTATATATATATACACACACACACACACACACACACAGATACATACAAGGAAACCTAGACACGCGCACATGCTGATCGTATGTTGTAAATAAATAAATAAAAAATAAAAAATTATATATATATATATATATATATATATATATATATATATATATATATATATATATATATATATATATATATATATATATATATATATATATATTATATTCATCACCATTGTAACCTAATGCTTAGCTAGTGATTGCTGCATTATTCTGTGTGCCTTTACAACACCATAATATATTTTCATCGAACTAGGCTTACATTTTGCCTCAATTCGTTCTCGAGTCGAAATCGCATTCTTTGTGAGGTTTTATCCTAGGGAGGGTCAGTTCGACCTGGGGGGGGGGGCTCGATACAAGTCTAAAATGTGTATAAATACAGGCTACCTGTCCCTCCCCTCGCCTCCAACACGGGAATTTTTACATTTAACTGTAATTCTTAATATAATAATGCTAACTGTCCAGGAAACAATCATGGGAACTTAGCCAAATTACACATATTAATTGTAAGTTATTATTTTTTGCAGATATCGAGAGGACTGCTATCCACAATTCTTGTCATAGATATTATAATCAATAATTAATATCATGAATGGAAAAAGTTGATATCATTCAGTAGCCTATGATGTCAAAAAGGCAAAAAACTTGATTAATGTATTAGATATGCAGAATAAATTAAGCAAACCTTTCAAGAAGATAGAAGACACAAGACGTTGTGGGTGGAGGAAATGGAGAGAAAATAAGAGGATGTGCGTACCTGTACATAAGGCCAAGACTTAAAATTGTCTTGTCATGGGCGTCTTCTTGTCCGCGGGAGCCCCAATACACTCCGCCCCACTGATACCACTGCCTGCCACTCACTACTCATTGTCTGATATTCCCTTCCACGCTCACACCCTGCATGCTAGCTCCTCTCATCCCAGATTATATGGTGTTGCTAGCATGGCTACCACCACTAACTACAATTTCTACGGCCATCCCTTGAGTCTTAAAACCCCCTGGCTGCGTGTATAAATTTTGTATTCTTGTTGCACTCAATATCATGTTAATTTCATTGTCTTCAGGGCAAATTCATTACCAGGAGCAATCATCCACCCCCATCAAACCACCTAGATAGTTATCTAGATATTTGTGAAAGCATATTACGGTTCCATTAATAGGCTATAAACTGATGACTTGACGGTTTAAATGACTATAAACCGCCAAGTGAACATTTGTCCTAAACATACATAATCCTCAAGTTATAGCTTTAATGTATTATAAATTGTAGGTTTAAATATAAAAAGTGTATGCAGAAAAAATAGTTTTCAAATTCCATATTTCACATTTTGGACAATGTTATACTAATGTAACTTAATGTAATGAATCCCAACCTAACTTAACCTAAAGTAGCATTAACCTAATCTAACCATGGGCAGAGAGTAAATAATAGCACTAATTAAGTAGTTATTCTCAAACCATTACCTGCAATGGATTTCCTCCCAGAGGATAGGTCGCAAGTGTCAGACATTTGGAATACAGTACTGCAAAAACGAAGAAACTGTTTTGATCAAATATGCACCGTGCATTTGATCAAATGTGTGTGATGTAGTGGTTTAGGGTAAAAGCTTTTGAGTACCAAGTGAGCGGGGTTCGAATCCTCCTCATGGCTCCCACTGATTTTTTCATATTATATACATATGAATTATATACATATGGATTCCTTCTGAAGATGTATTTAATATACGAAAGTACTTAAGGAAATTCCTGTTTCATTTTCCTCCGTGGTCTGACATTGTCACATTCTTAATCACGTGTTTATTTTCGTGATATACACACATATTATATACATATGTATCAGATAATGTTGTTGACCAGACCACACACTAGAAGGTGAAGGGACGACGACGTTTCGGTCCGTCCTGGACCATTCTCAAGTCGATTGTGAAGAGGAGGTAGAGACAGGCAATAAATAGGCAAGAGAGAGCTGAAGAGGAAAGTAAGGTGTAGGGGATAGTAGTAATAATAAGAACTTCAGAGGGCCTATTGGCCCATATGAGGCAGCTCCTATCTATAACCACCGAATGAGAAGGAGATAGTAATAGGAATAAGAAGAGGATAGCAAGGGAGCGTAGAAGACAATGAACAGAAAAAGGGAGAAGAGAGAAAGAAAAGGAAAGAAAGATAAATGGAAGGGGTAAGCAAATGTTAAGTCACGTTTGTTAGAAAGATTAGAGCATTTGAGTATATACTGTAAAAGGGAAGAGTCCACAGCAACAAAGCCAGGACTCAAGTTCATGCTGGGTACATTGTGTATTAGAGCCGATGTTTGTTGTCTGTATGAGGTTGAAGTTCAGATACTTTGGGCCAATCTCACCCAACTTTGCAGGGTGAATTATCTATGGTACAGGACAGACAGAGGCTGGTCGGTGTTGGTCTTATTAAAAGGGGGCTTGGCCAAATAGTGACTCCCTCCCCTCCCCCTCCCACCCCATCAGACACCTAATTGGTGAAAGGTGGTTGGGCGAGTCCATAGATTTCTTCACTTGAAAATAAAGAAAACTTGAAAACTAGTTATCTTACCTTGAGGTGCTTCTACAATTAGCTACCAGAACATTAAAAAAAAACACAGGAGGAGGAATAATATTTTGTGATTCAAAGTTTGCTCTTCAAGGAATTGAAAACTTCTCCAACAGAGGTTGATAGCAAAAACTTCATACTAACAATTATAAATGACCTGACTGCTGCACAGCGTCTTCTTTGTATGGATATCAACTCACATAAATATAACCTATCATAATGACAGACATTGCAGCCAAATTAGCATGTAGCAAAGATGAAGTTGATTTAAACTTAGGTATCCTATCTCTGTTGTCAGGACTATAGTGTTCCAAACACTCAGGTCTGATAGAAGAGAAATTACAGACTCCAAATGGGCTGAAAGCACCAGTATAAAAAGCTATGATTTGTTCAGATCTGAAAATTATGTTTATGGACACCATAAAACATCCAACAGACTATGCGACACAGTGGTTGCCAGGATCAGGTTGGGTTATCATTACAGATGGCAGGTAGCAACAAGTGAACAATTTGGAGGATGTTGATCCAGTAAATTTCTTCAAAAGATCAGATGTAACACAAACAACGAGCAATGGTTTCAAGCTCAACAAGCCATAATGTAGGACTAAGAACAGATGCTTTTTCACCCCAGGGTTATAAACCCATGGAATCGCCTACCCGCTTAAGCCGTAAATGCCAAAACACTGTTAACTTTTAAAGTACAGCTGGAAAAGATCATCAAGGCAAATGGGGGGACCTTCGACAAACTGCCACCTTCCTGTTCTTGTCGAGGTCACTAATGTTAGTGGCTCTCGGGTAAACTCAGATAAACTCAGGTGACAGATCTTCCAATCCTGAGCACTCTGGGTGCAAACTCTGTGAGCAGGAACTGGGTCATGATCTCGCACCCTGCATCAATGAATCCCAAGTTATTAGACCATTCAGACTCATTGGCATGAGGTACTTGGAGCTGTACAATAACTTTTTTAACTCTTGTGTTCTTGAGGATATCTTCATAATGCACCCAAAATTTGCCAGTGCAGTCTACTGAGCAGATGGCTTTGTAAAAGCCTAACCATCCTGCAAGATTGAGACTTTTAGTATCACTGCTACTTTATTCATTCTTGTGTTCTTGATGATATCCTCATAATGCACCCAGAGTTTGTCAGTGAAGACTACTTATCACATACTTTTTTTTTTTTTTTTGAGATATATACAAGAGTTGTTACATTCTTGTACAGCCACTAGTACGCGTAGCGTTTCGGGCAGGTCCCTGGAATACGATCCCCTGCCGCGAAGAATCGCTTTTTCATCCAAGTACACATTTTACTGTTGAGTTAAACAGAGGCTACAGTTAAGGATTTGCGCCCAGTAAATCCTCCCCGGCCAGGATACGAACCCATGACATAGCGCTCGCGGAACGCCAGGCGAGTGTCTTACCACTACACCACGGAGACTGCTTTTGTATGACAAACCATGCTGGGATGGGGATTTTTAGCATCACATAGCTAATTTTTTGTTATATACTGTCCTGTATTCCCCTTCATATACTCTATGGTAGCTGCATAAATGCAGATGTACTTAAGTATGTTAATAAAAAAAAAGCGAATTCAGTGGGAGCTGGGGAAAGAGGGGAAGGTACATTGAGGGAGAAAGGTGAGAGAAGGATGACACTGGGAGACGGTGGAAAGGGGGAGAGGGGAGACAAGGACAAGGAAAGGTGTGGGGATAACGAGGAGAGGGGAGGAGAGAAGGTTAAGAGAGTGAGAGAGAGTTGGGATTTTAGGAAGAGAAAGTTGAAGAGGGGAGGAGATAGGAAGATGGGAATGAGATGAAAATCAAGCTTATCTTCAAAAAATAAATTCCTTGTATTGCATAAAGTACTCACCTCCTTGGGAACGAAAGTCCATGGTGCATGAATATTTCATCTCAGCAGGGTCTAGAGCTGTAGCTCCCTCCATGGTTGGTATAGTGGGAGGTGGAGGGTACGGACTGCCATAACCCCCTACATTCCCAACACCACCGCTGCTGTTGCCTCCCAGGTTTCCTGTTGCTCCGCCTGAAATATTCCAACAACAGAGATTCAGTCTAACATCATTAGCAACAACAGACTTAACATTCATCTTTTTTGTTTGCATGCCACAAAGAAATTACACTGACTTAGACAACTGTCATGCCCTTCACAACTACCTGGACAAAATACAGTACAGTATGTGTATGGAGTAACACTTAGCAGATGGAATTCAATGTGAATAAATGCCATGTTATGGAATGTGGAACAGGAGAAAATAGGCCACACACACAATCAACAAATTTAACTGTGTTTAAAGACATTAATGAACTTGAACAAAGAAAGAAATCTAGGAGTGGTTCTGGATATTAACTGTCACCAGAGGACCACATAAATGATATTGCACAAGAGCCTATACTATTTTCTTTCCCACTTCAGAATCTAATTAAAGTACATGAATGGTGGAATACTACATAGTTCATGACATTTGTAAGACCAAAATTGGAATATGCAGCAGTTGTATGGTGCCCATATCTCAAGAAACCTATCAATAAGCTAGAAAGGGTGCAAAGACATGCAATTAAATGGCTTCCAAAACTAAATAACAAGAGCTATTTATGAGGAGAGACTAGAGGTGTTATAAATGCCAAAGCCAGAACTTAAGAAGGAAAAGAGGCGATATGATTATTACATACAAACTGTTAACAGGAATTGAGAAAATAGGCAGAGGAATTTTTGAAACAAGCAACTTCAAGAACAAGAGCTCATACATAAAAGCTAAGGAAACACTGCTGCTTAACTTAAAAAATATTAACAATTTCTCATTTGTAAACCGAATAGTAAATGGTTAGAATAAACTTAGAAAATTCCTTAATGAATTTACTTGGACAGACTTGTTGCTAGGCAAGGAAGTAAATAAAATGTATGCCAAATTTTGTGAAATATACGATGAAGGGACATAAACATTCATACCAAGACAGAGATGTAAGACCAGAAAGCAGGATTGGTTCAACAGAAATTGTGAGAGGACCAGAGGACCAGAGAAGAAAAGACAAGAAAAAGGGTTCAATATACAGTAGGAAGAGGCCTAACCCACAAACATACCAGCACTACAAGCTAGCAAGAAATAATTACACATCAGTGAGGAGAGAGGCAGAAAGGAACTTTGAGAAAGGTAGAGCACACAAATGTAAAACAGATCAGATCTTTTCTATAAATTTATTACAAGCAAGCTGCATGTAAAGGATAAAATTGAGAGATTGAGAATGGGAAACAGGACTACTGTACTGAGAATGAAGAAGAAATATGTGAAATGCTAAATGAATAGTTCCAAAGCGTGTTTGTACAAAATGAGGATTTCAAAGAGCAGGACCCAATACAAATACCAGAACATACCATAGAATACATAGAGGTACAGTATCTTAAGAAAAAGTGGTAAAATTATTCAAGGGGCTAGGAAGAAATAAAGCAGTTGGACCTGATAGAGTTACACTTTGGGTGCTGCGAGAATCTGCAACTAAGCTGAGCATTCCACTCCAATTAACATTCCAGACATCCTTGTGCACAGAAGTCTTAGCAGATATATGGAAAAAGGCAAGCATAGTACCAATCTATAAAAATGCTAGTTGAGAAGAACCTCTAAATTATAGACCAATTATATGCATGTATGTTATATGCATTAACAAGTGTGGTAGTCAAAACACTAGAAACAATAGTTAAAGACAAATGGGTTGAACACCTAGAGAGTAATGACATAATAATGGACAGACAGTATGGTTTTCAAACAGGAAGATCCTGTGTAACAAATCTACTTAGTTTTTATGATAGAGCCACACAGATACTACAGGAAAGAGGTGGTTGGGTTGACTATGTCTATCTGGACTTAAAAATGGCTTATGAGAGAGTCCCACACAAGAGGCTGTTCTGGAAACTGGAACATGCTGGAAGGGTGACAGGAAGCCTTCCGACAAGGATGAAAAACTGACAGACAGACGAGGGCGGTAATCTGAGACAATGTATCTGGAGTGACAATGTAACTGGAGAACAATGTAACTGGAGAAGTGTTACTTGTGGAGTACCACAGGGTTCAGTTCTTGCACCAGTAATGTTCATTGTCTACATAAATGATCTACCAAAAGGAATACATAATTATATGAACATGTTTGCAGATGATGCTAAGATACTGGGGAAGATAGGAGATGCAGACGATTGTCATGTCCTACAAAACTAATCTAGATAAAATAAGTGCTTGGAGTGTCAAGTGGCAAATGGAATTTAATGTGAATAAATGCCATGTTATGGGATTTGGAATTGGAGAAAATAGACCACACACAGCTTACAAATTATGTGGAAAGGTACAGTACTGTATTACAAAACTCTAATCATGAACGAGACAGAGGTGGTTTTGGATAGTAAGCTGTCGCCAGAGGAACATATAAAGAACAGTGCGAGAGGAGCATATGCGTATCTTTCCAACGTGAGACTTTCTTTTAATTATATGGATGGTGAAATACTAAAGAAACTGTTCATGACTTTTGTGAGACCAAAATTGGAATATGCAGCAGCTGTATGGTGCCCATATCTCAAGAAGCACATAAATAATCTGGAAAAGGTGCAAAGGCATAATACAAAATGGCTCCCGGAACTGAAAAACATGAGTTACGAGGAGAGAATAGGGGGGTAAAACATGCTAAAACTAGAAGATAGAAGAAAAAGAGGTGATATGATCACCTCTTACAGAATACTAACAGGAATCGACCAAACTGATAAAGAGGAATTCCTGAAAACAACAACTTCAAGAACAAGAGAGCACAGATTCAAGCTAAGGAAACAAAGGTGCCAAAAATTATTAGAAAGTTTTTTCTTGCAAACAAAGTGGTAGACGGTTGGGACAAGTTAAGTGATAAGGTGGTAGAGGCCAAAACCGTTAGTAGTTTCAAACCGTTATACAACAAAGAATGCTGGGAAGACAGGACACCACAAGTGTAGTTCTCATTTTATAACGACAATTATGTAATTGTAATTACAGTACTGTACTTAGGTATTGTAATTACACCCCACACACACAAACCAACCAACCAAAGTTCTTCTATGCAAATATAGTTGTAGAAAGATGGAACAAGTGAGATGGTGGCGGATGCCAAAACTGATAGTAGTTTCAAAGCCTCGTATGACAAAGAGTACTGAGCTGTCATCCTGAAACTACACTTAGGTAATTCCACACAGGTAAATACACACACTGTATATACTGTATTTATATAATGTATACATGTACTAAATAGGTGTGTGTTGTCATAAAAGTTTCTTACCTCTGCCAAACATATGTTGTTTCTTTAATGGTAGAGGAGGCATCCGGTGAGGATCTTCTGGACCATATCGATAACTTCCTGCATTATAATCTCCACTTTGGTTTCGACTTCCACTGTCTGTGATTATCAATAACAATTACATCATATTACACTATTTATAAAAATGTATTCTTAAAATTAGATAAAATATTTAAATCTTTTAATGAAAGAGAGTTGGATACCAGAATTAGCATTAAAGATCCATCTGCCAAGATTAACAGCATGCATGATACCTTGTACTATTTCTAATTATGAAATACTGTAAGTCAAGAAAATAGTACCTTAAATAACTCGCAAAGAAGTTAAGCCATATGTGTAGAGTTCTTGAGAAGATAGAAAAATTAAGGAATACAAAGTCAGAAATACAGAAATTGCAAGTGAAATTCTTACCTATGCCAACTTGCATGATATGTTAGTCTTTTCATGTGCTAACTTGGAAGTTTTTACTGTTTACACCCCCCTTAACCAATGAAAATAATTTTGTCTAAATTTACTGTTTCAACATAGTTTTTAAGCACATTACAAAGGTTCAGGTGAAGAAAGTACTGTGCTAGAACTGTATTACATTTTCATCAGACCCTGTCTTGATTCCCATACAGTACTTAGAAATTTTCAAATGAAATTTGATAAATATATTTTTTCAGCATTAAATCAGATCAATATTTTAGTGCTGAATTATAATTTTAAAATTAAATGTGGTATCACAATAAAGTGTAAGCGTGTGTGGAGGTGTGAGTGTACCTGAAAGTTGTGTTGTGTTGTCGACTGTGCCCCAGGGCTCGCCAGGACTAAGGGAGGAGACTGCGGAGTCACTGGAGGCGTCCACACCTTCCTCACCATGAAGCTGAGGTAGCACACACCCAGCTGTGCCCGACAATAACACTGGCATTTAAGTCATCAACGTGGCTGCAGTAAGTCTCAAGATAATTCCCAATAAGACAGCAGTATAATATATATTCCCATCAAGGCAGGTGGCAATGATCTTGCTACAAAGATAAAAGCCATATACTGTTCCAGTTAAAAGCTATAGAATTGATATTTTTTTCCCCTTTACTTCAGTAATTGAACTATGAATCCTTCCCAAATGAGCTGGTACTTTCCCATGCCACAGGAATATATTAGAGGTGTATGTGGTAAAATCCTTTACATGCTGCCTTGAATGGAAGTCACAGTCAATCATGAAATGTGATAAATGTATATGGTAATCTACTAAATGAGACACCTCTTGGTTTGTCATATTCCAGTTCCCAAAGAAGTAAAATAAAATCTTAAATTTTTTAATGATGTACAGTATTCTAAATAAAATTGTTATTAAATTAGTTACAAAAGCTTTTATACCGATTAATAGTAATATTTTGCATTTCATTTACAGCATACAGTACATTATTAAATAATATGAGGTACAGTATAATTCAGAAAAGTTAAATTTTCTCTAATTTGTTCTTCTTTCAATATAGTACAGTTCACCGTTTATTATTAATGAAGTCTTTCCATATAAAATATATAAACAAATGAACTGTGTTTCCATAAGTACCGAACAATATTTACTTCCAGCATTAGAGGTAAGGCATATACTTTCAAGATTTAGCTACTAAAATTAAAATTGTCATCGAACAGAGAATTAATTCAGTATGTAACAACTCAAGCTACATACTTGAATTTAAACTTTTAAATTGAATCTAAAAACTTGAATTGAAACATTCAAGTTAGCCACAGTGCATGAATCTTTATGAAAACGGCACATATTCTGTGCCCAAGTTTATTCAAAACTTCTAAATGTAAGCTGGTTATCAGTTGAATCAATTATGTGTAAATAAGATTGATAACTATACATTTTTGCTGATACAATAATTGAATTATACTGTAAAACATAAAAGAATACAAAATTGGATTTAATAATTCAATGTTAATATGCTCTACTTATGATGTAAATCTTGTCGAAAATTTAATGAGTTAAGAGTGATATTATAACGAACTCTTTGGGACATTGGACAGTGTTACAAAATGACTATTTACAGCGAGCTCACAAGAAGATGGGAGAAAACATGCAACAGTACATGCAGGATGTTTACCTCGTGCTCACAGACACCAACATACTTCACAGTGCACCCATACTCACCATTCTATAACAGGTATTTATTCTGTGATAGTATAATAAATAAAACTACATGAATAACAAATGCTGTGAGGAACTTCATGCAAGTTGGCAAAATTAAAATAGAAACAGAGGAAAAGGACAGCAAACAAGCACAAGGACACAGTAATCTTACAAAACATATACAATACAGTAACACAATACAATATTTAACAAATGAAAACATTAAACTTGCACAATGAATTCACTGCATCACTAACTATTACTTTGAAATTAAATGCATGGTTGTAGAGAAATGTAATTGTGTTATGACTACAATATAATGTACCTTAGACTGTATAAGAATTCACACGTAAACACCAAGGTTTTCGGAGATTTCCTCATTATCTTCAGGGGAATACAGTACACATTTTGTTCATCCATTAGATATACTATCCTCTTTTCATCTCTCACTTAACACAGATACCATTCTGAATGAGAATGTATGTCAATACCAAGCTTGTCATTTAACAAAAAAAAAAAAGAGGTCTTAAATTTTAACCTTTAAAGATCAGTTTTAGTCATATGTTGATTCCTGGGGTAATCAGTTGTATCATCATTTGCGATCATTAAGATAACGTTGCCCAGTTATTAAAAAAAATGGTGCCTTGGGGAAGCTATTGAGCAGGCAATGCACAAAAATCAGGTTCCGAGGCTGGGGAATGGAAAAGAAGTCAGATGAGGTGAAATCTCTTTACAGTTAGGTTCTCATGTTAGATGTCCATCATATAATAGTTAAATTAAAATTTTGCTCAGTGACATTTTCTCATTAAACGTGGGAAAAATTAAGGTATGAATGATAACTTCTTGAATATTGCTCTGATCATATTTTTGAAGATTTTTAAAAATAAGTGCAATGCCAAGATAAATAGTTAAGTGCCTTAGGAAAGCTATTGGGCACATTTAAAACTAAATTCTGTGCTTCATTTAATTTGGAGTTTTACATGAAAAATATGAAAAATTTAGTGATAAATAGCCAAAACAAAAGTGATAATTTTTAAAAATGTCACAAAAATTCAGATATGATCTACTTTTTGGAGGCGATTCTATTCTATATCAGGAATACTGCTTCTCTTTGTTATGCTTAATCCTTATCACAGAAGTCCTAAGTGTTCAGTATGACAAGTGGTTATAGTTGAAATTCAAAAGAAAATTAAAAAATATGTGGAACCCATTGCCCCTATAACACTCCCTCTATTTAAACCACTGAATACAGTATATAAATTACATGGTACCAATGTGTTTATATGTTTGCCTGAAAACTAGAAGCACAAAACCCAAAACCTATGGTTATTACCAAAATTTTTATACTATACAGTACTATTTACACACACACACACACACACACACACACACACAAAGATAAAGTTGATAAAGAAAGCCTATTTAAAATAAAAAAGAAAGAAACATAGGTCAAGGGGACATTGATGGAAGCGAAATTGCAAAATTCTACATTTCAAATCTTTAGATGTTTGCTCAACATAGAACTTATTACAATATTTACAAGGTATTTTATAAATGACACAAATGTAGAATTTTGCAACATAAATATTCAGTAAGACATGGCCAATTGTCTAATGCTTTGTTTGTTCATCTGTCAGAAGATCTCACCAAATTGATTGGGAGACTGCTTCTTCAATAACAAATTGTAAAAGCACTTATAACAGGAACATAATTGAATGTGCTCTGATACAGATTACAAAAGAAAGTAATTTGAACATTAGCAGTGGTTTATATAACTTAGATCCATTTTTGATAGATCAATTAAAGGGCGATTTGAGTAGGATCATTGATACACATTTGTCTCCTTAATTCATTGTAAATATTTACTATCTTATGCTATTATTATCCATGTGTGGGCCTGTTGGTGGGTATGAATAGGAGCTGCATCGTATGGGCCAATAGGCCTTCTGCAGTTCTTATGCGGCTCATATTTGTGTCCACCTAATTCCCATTCATTTGTCATTGTACTTCACCTCACTCCACCACTCTTCTGCCTATATATGTCCAATACTTGACCTGTAAATCACTCCTTCTGAAGATGTATTAATATACGAAAGTACTTAGTGAAATTCCTGTTTCAATTCTTCCTCTGTGGTCTGACACTGTCACATTTTTAATCACGTGTTTATTTTTTGTGATTTACACACACACACACATTATTATATATATATATATATATATATATATATATATATATATATATATATATATATATATATATATATATAAAGTGTATATAATGTATATATGTAAACAAATAGGTATAATACAGCATATACAATAACTTACAATATTAACAAATTATTAGGAGCTCTTACATTCAACAATGGAATGTTAGCAATAAGCACAATTAATATAATGCATGCTTCCATTTTGGATATCATTACCGAGGCTAAAATAAGGCTTACACTTTGACAATAATCTATGAATTGCATGCAGTTTGCAGGTGTTATGGTGTCAAGAGTGATTGCTGGGGGGTTGGATGCAGCCAGGTTCGACAGTGCCTGTCATCATACTGTTATTTACATGTTTTTCGTTTAAAGGAAAGGATAGGAAATGCCAGTTTTGAAGTGACATACTTTTAAAAACATTTTACTGCATTTAATTCTAGTGCTTTTGTGATTCTCTGCACATGAAAAAGATTTACAAATGGCTTTCTTTTACCATGATTTAAACGAATTATGTTTAAGGGATTATAATAATTAACTATATACAGTAAATCCATCAAATTATTGTCAGACTTTTATAATTTGTTGAACTAACAATAATTTACAAGCTGTTATGGAAGCAACACTATGCTTATTACACTAATTACATATTTCAATATTACTGTGACATCTCCCAATTTTTAAAATAACATATACTGTAATGTACACTTATAGCATCAATAAGTACAGTACAGTACGGTAGTTATTTCACAATTCATTTCATATAAATAAATTTGAGGTGATTATACCTTATATTAGAAAATAGAAGGATCCATTTAATGTTCGATAAAACCTGTAAAACATTTATAGCAGCCAATATTGATGGCAATACTCACAGTCACTCATGGCCATCTCCATCAACCCAAGCGCTTCATCGTTGAGGATGGACGAGAGGAGCCCATCTGTGGTCTGGTTCATCTCTGTACTTGTGTTCTGAAAAAATAAAGTAATAACCTTTTTTTTTAACTGATGGCATATCGATCAAAACTCCATTAGAGGGACTGTAAGTATATGAGCAATCTATCTGAACTTTGCCATAAATGAACTAAACACTATGACTGGTTTTCATCCTTGTGTTCGTCTATGTTTCATAATGTTCAAAATGGTGAAAGTTTAAAGGTTATATGATAAAACTAAACATTATTCAAGAGTGTTTTATAAAATCCTTGTTAATGGTAATAAATAAGGCACAATGAATTCTACAAGCAAGAGGCAGCACAAACATGTTGAATTCAGACATTAAGGAAATTATATAAGCTGTACCTGTATATGAAACAAATTGAGGCTGTTATATAAATAAACATGAAATATTTATTCATATTACTGTGTATATCTTGAGTTATGTTTAGTAATATGAACTTTAGTACAATATGTAGTGAAGTGCATTTAATGTCTAAAGTTACACAATTTCATGAAAGTTAACAATAAAACTGTACTGAACTGCCTTTTAAAGATCATCAGGCATTTCTAATTCGATAAATACAGTATATAATTTGCTTAAACAGTGAATGAGAGCGAAGAAAGGTATGTTATTACTATCTATATCTACACTTGAAGCTGAATATGACATCTGCAGTCACAACTTCTTAATGCATTCCATTTGTTTACTAACACCAAAAAAATTTTCTAACCACCTTCAGTTATCTTTCTAATCACCTTCAGAATGTACATGGGTGGTGAAATGTTAAAGAAATTGTTCACGACCTTTGTGTCCATATCTCAAGAACCACATCAATAAACTGGAAAAAGTGTACAGTGTAATGACATGAAACTAAATGGCTTCCAGAACTGAAAAACAAGACCTACGAGGAAAGACTAGAGGTGTTTTAAATATACCAAAGCTATAAGATAGAAGTTAGAAGAAAAAGAGGTGATATGATCACTATGTACAAAATAGGAATAGGAATTGTCAAAATTGACAAAGAAGAATTATTGAAAATGGTAGATTCAAGATTAAGATGTCATGGATTCAAACTATGAAAACAAAGTTGCCAAAAAAAAACATTAGAAAGTTCACTTTTGCAAACAGAGTGGTAAACAGTTGGAACAAGTTAAGTGAAAAGCGGGTGGAAGGCAAAACCGTCCATAGTTTCAATGCAACATACAGTATAACAAAGAGTACCGGGAAGACGGGACACCACAAGCAGAGCTCTCATCCTGTAACTACACTTAGGTAATTACACACATATGGCTCCAAAACTGAAAAACAAGAGCTATGAGGAGAGGCTAGGAGTCTTAAATCCTGCATGCCAAAGTTAGCAAATAGAAGAAAAAGAGGCAATATGATCACTACAGTACATACAAAATATTAATAGGAATCAAGAAAATTGATAAAAAGGAATTCTTGAAACCTGTAGCTTCAAGAACAAAAGGTCATTGATTGAAGCTAAGAAAACAAAGGTACTGAAAAAATATTAGAACGTTCACTTTTGCAAACAGAGTGGTAGATGGTTAGAACAAATTAAGTGAGGAGTAGATGGTTGGAACAAGTTACGTGAGGAGGCGATAGATGCCAAAATTGTCTGTAGTTTCAAAGAGTCATATGACAAAGAGTAATGGGAAGACGGGACACCAAGAGTATAGTTCTCATCTTGTAACTATGCTTAGGTAATTACACACACACATCATCATTATCCAAGTAATATTGTTACTGGGTTAATTAAAAAATGCAGAAATGAAAGTTTAAAATTTGTCTCATTTATAATTATCACTGGATACTGTATTATCATAATGAAAAAAAAAGAGTGTGGGGGCTTAATGGTTTAAAGTTTGTGAAATTTCTTGGGACTCTTGAGACTGAGACGGCTTTTAAGGGTTAATAAAGAATAATTGCTACTGTAATAATATAGTCAAGTCTAAATTACTACCACAATAATTTAGGCCAGTAGAAATTACCACTGTAATAATTTAAGTCAGTATAAATTATAAAATTACTACAGTAAAAACTTAGTCATAGAGGGATGGGGAGGAAGGGATAAGAAAGACATAAAAGCGGTAGTGGTGTCCGTTGGTGAGTTGGAAAAGAGCAGGTGAGAGTGATGGTGGTTCTGAGGAAGTGAAGACTGGCTACCTCATTGTGCCCTGCCTCCTAGCCTTATTTTTTTGGGGGGGAACGACCTGGTGCATTATTTTTTTTTTTTGTAACTTTCTAGATACTGTATTTGAGTTCTTTGTTGCATCTACTCTTTGAAATTGTGGATGGAGAAGGCTTTTGTGACTTCTGAAAGTATATGCAATCTATTTGATGACCTATACAAGGTAGTTATGGTATGACTGTATTTGTGGTTGTGTATTAGTTGCAGCAGTAGTGGTGGATATGGTTTAGTGAAGGTCGTTTGGTTGTTATAGCAGTATGTAGTGGTGACTGTTTCCAATTTGAAAAAAAAAACACTATTTGAACATTCTATCAATTAATGAGAATGGGCTGAGAAAATGACAGATAATACAAGCTCAAGTGATGCATTATCAAGACTGCAGAATAAATGCATACCTAAAAATTTTGCTTTTAGGAATTAGAATTTCAAACGAGAAATCCTGTATGTATAATAAACAAATTTGGCTAAATTCAAACATACTATGTACCACAACATAAAAATACAGAAAAGTGTAAAAGGTCCATGCGAGGCGACTCCCATTTATACCTAAACAAACTCATTTTATGTTTATGTCTAAAGTTTGTGTGAAACAATCTAGCAATCACACATCTATTAGCTCATGTAAGCGAGATAAGCTCTGATTTATACCCTTCCAAACTAATTTGTATATACTGTACTGTATATCTGTAGTGAGGGGTATCTGGGCCGGTATGCCATATGTAGATATGTAATGGTAGTAGCCTATGTGATGGTATGTGGGGGGTACATGGTGGTGATACTATGTGGATATACTGTATATTGTAATATACAGTATACTATACTAGTATAGTATAGTATGGTGTATGTGAGGTATATGGTGGTATGTGGGACATATATGTAGTATATGGTGATATATAGTATTATGTTGTGCTAAGTAATGTATGGGGGGGGGGTTAAAAGGTGTTATACGGTGGTATACAAATAAAACTATACCATAACCTGTTGGGGTACAAGGATTACCATATCTAGTCACACATTAGTGTACATAACACAACAATATGGCCTGAAGCCTGAAAATAAATAAGGTTAATTATACAACACTCATTAAAACTCGCAACCGGTCCGTCTAATTACCCAAAGATACCCAAAGCCACCCAAAGCTTCCTAGCATTACATTAGTTATGAATAAATATGATATATTTATTCATTATAATGTTGATGCTGAATGTAGAATATGGAAAAACATATTTTTACTCTGAAAAAGTATCCTTTCATAATGAAATTTGACGAAAATAAGCTGCTGGTGACGGCAGAGCAAGTCGACGGTCCAAGCGACAATGTTGTGGAGCGACTTATCCAAGATATATTGTTGCGTACAGGTTATATTAACTTAGGTTTGGATAGTTAGGTTTTGTTAGGTTATGTTTGGGTAGGTTGGTTAGGTTAGGTAGGCATAGGAGGCTGATATGCCAGCAAATACTCTTTAGGCAACAATGTGTCTTGGATAAGTAGCTCCACAACATTGTCGCTTGGACCGTCAACTTGGTTTGGCATCACCAGCAGCATATTTTCGTCTAATTTCATTATGAAATGAAACTTTCTCATAGTAAAAATATGTTTTCCATGTTCTACATTCAGCACCAACATTATAACGAGTAAATATATTACTGTACATGAGGAGTAAATATTTTATATTTATTCATTACTAGTGTAATGCCAGGAAGCTTTGGGTGGCTTTGGATAGCTCTAGGTAATTAGACGGACCCCTCGCAACAACTTTGAAGAATTTCTGAGCAACTGGCCAGAATCCTACATAATATTTCTTATTAAAAATAAAATGAATTTGTTACTTTAAACTAATAAATGTGATACTGAAGATCAAAAGTGGGCATGTTCATTTTTTTGGAGTATGTAACTATGTTCATTTGACCAACAACACAGCGGAAAACATCAATGTTGCTGCTATAAGGCAACCATGAAAGTGAATTATTTTATCTGTATCGTATGTGACTTTACAATTCAAAAGATTAAATCTTCAAGATACAGTATTAGTCCTTAGTGTCACTCAAATGGAAATGACACAAAGCAGAGTACACTGTTTAAAGAAGTTGATGTTGAACTCCCAGTAATCCATTGGAAATTCCTCAACCAAACTAGTATTTAATTAAGTTCCTACAATGAATTTAACAGTGTATAAAAAAGTTGAGTGCCTATGTTTGAAATTCATAACTATACATGAAATGTGTGTTCATTGAAAAACAAGTAAATGCCTGCATCACATATGATGTACACCACAATGTATTAATACTAAACTTTCCATTAGTTGACCCATAAAAATAGGAAATATGCATAGATGAATGGATGCATGATACTTTTGGCAGACCATGAGAATTTCTGAGAGTGCACATCTGAGACACTCAGGGATATGATGTATATGTTTGCACTAAAGGCTACATTATGTTTATGACATACAAAACATTATATAAAATTGCTCATAACTGATGTGACAGAGCATGAAGGACAGGCTCTCGCATGACCCAGTGCTGTCACACAGAACAGGATCTATGACAATCAACCCGAGCTTCATGTTACGTAATAATTGTATGTGATTTTTAACCTTCTTAGTTTTATCCTTATGCCCTGAAAATGACAAAAGCAAATTTGAGCAATTCTACACAAATGCCAAATTCTAGGATTATACAATACTATACTGCCATGAGTATCATGCATGATGTAATAACCAATTTTTTAGTAACAAACGACAGGTCAATATATATGTTAATACTGCAATAAAAAGTATAATATTTTGCTAGTACACACTAAGAAGTAGCAAAATGTAAAGATCTTTAAAGAAATGGGCAGTGCTCTATGCTAGTGTTAAAACCAACAGCCCCTCTCCCTCTCTCGTCCACAACTCCTGCCATTATGTTGCGAGTGTAATACCTCTGCTGCCACCAGAACATCAGACATGAGCCTCTCCATAGATTCATTAACTTGCAAATCTTCTGCACAGCTTCTCTGAAACATTAAACATTACATGCTAATGTTCCTTTCCAGCGATACAGATCATCACTAAATCGTCACCTATGTACGGTCACAGATCATGTTTTCTTTATTCATTGCGTCTTGTGCAGAAAATGTATATTAAGCCTTCAAGTGAGAAGAAAGAATTTCAACTATGAACAGTGACATTTCTATTCATGCAGCTCAGGTTTGGATACAAATATTACTAGGAATATGCCCGTGAAAATATATATATATGTAAGCTATGTACCAGAGTACCTGTTACTTGATGTAGAAACAGTGATATAAGGTTTGGTGTTGAGTTTAAGGCCTACCAACTGCAGTTGCTTACTGACAAACCAGCAAGTATAATTTAGTCCAGGACATAGTTGAGGACTAAATCAAACTTAAAGTGTATATACACCAAGAAGTGGGGTACAACCACTCTCAAATGAGATATTTTGACTGGAAATATTGGTAACATTCTTGAGAAATATAACAAAAAGTTCACCAAGAATGTAAACATCAATACATTTATAAATATTTGTATGTTAATTTATATTTATTGTTATTCATATGTTTATATGATTTATATGTATCCTATGTACAGTATTTTAATTTAACCATAAATATATTTAAATGTACAGTACTGTATTATGTCTATTAACATGTACATTTTGAACAGTATTACCTGAGTAAAAGTATAACTGTAAATTATTTTTTTACCCAGAATGTAAATAATAATATGTAGAATAATTTTTATGATATTTTGTACAGAACTGATGCACAAGTTTGAAGACAGCCTGCAGTATCTCATCCCTTTTAGAGTATTTATTTTCTATTAAATATATTCATAACTATAAAAAAAATAAACTGTAATCTTCTTTTGTACAAGTTTTAACTATCAGTAGAAAGTTTAAACATACTTTTACATACTGAACGTTTCAGAAGTTCTGATCATTTAAGAATAAATGTATAACAATTTCCAGTAATCAAAATAATGTCTTTCAGAGCAGCAGCAGTAACCACTGATATCTTTCAATCCATCAACTTTCCCATGAAGCAACTGCAGCTGTTATGGGGTATCAGTCCCTTAATTCCCCATGCAGTAGCCGATACCTTTCACTCTTGTTGTAACTTCTGTACTGTCTGTTTCATTTGTTTGAAAAGTGGTTGGACAACATTCCTTGTCTCCTATTTCATATCACAGCTCCTATCCTGCCTTCATATCCCAGCTCCTATCCTGTCTTCATATCCCAGCTCCCATCCTGCCATCATATCTCAACTCACATCCTGCCCACATATCCCCACTCTTGTCCTGTCCTAATGTTCCAGCTCCTATCCTGCCCTCATCACAGCTCCTATCCTGCCCTCATATCCCAGCTCCTATCCTGCCCTCATATCCCAGCTCCTATCCTGCCCTCATATCCCAGCTCCTATCCTGCCCTCATATCCCAGCTCCTATCCTGCCCTCATATCCCAGCTCCTATCCTGCCCTCATATCCCAGCTCCTATCCTGCCCTCATATCCCAGCTCCTATCCTGCCCTCATATCCCAGCTCCTATCCTGCCCTCATAACCCAGCTCCCATTCTGCCCTCATAACCCAGCTCCTATCCTGCCCTCATAACCCAGCTCCTATCCTGCCCTCATAACCCAGCTCCTATCCTGCCCTCATATCCGAGCATCTATCCTGCCCTCATATCCCAGCTCCTATCCTGCCCTCATAACCCAGCTCCTATCCTGCCCTCATAACCCAGCTCCTATCCTGCCCTCATATCCGAGCATCTATCCTGCCCTCATATCCCAGCTCCTATCCTGCCCTCATAACCCAGCTCCTATCCTGCCCTCATAACCCAGCTCCTATCCTGCCCTCATAACCCAGCTCCTATCCTGCCCTCATATCCGAGCATCTATCCTGCCCTCATATCCCAGCTCCTATCCTGCCCTCATAACCCAGCTCCTATCCTGCCCTCATATCCCTTCAATATTCTATATAGCCAAATTAACTTAGCGCTTTCTGCTAATAACTATCCTCTTTTACATTAAACAATAAATGGTTGAAAAAAAAACAGAAAATTATATGTTGATGATTTGTACAGTCGGTCAGCTGATGTTATTGATGAAGAGATCCCGTAGGTGTTGACTACAGTGAAATAAATACATATATAAACTTCCCATGGTGACGTTCTGTGTCTGATGCATAATATATCAGCATTTTATGTATCATATACACAGAATCATGGTTTACCTACTAATGAGCGGTCTCCCATATGAAGCCCCCACAGATTTTTTATTATTTTTTTGCCCATTTGTTGTTTTCCTTTACCGTCCACAATATATATATATATATATATATATATATATATATATATATATATATATATATATATATATATATATATGTCGTACCTAGTAGCCAGAACTCACTTTTCAGCCTACTATGCAAGGCCCGATTTGCCTAATAAGCCTAGTTTTCATGAATTAATGTTTTTTCGACAACCTAACCTACCTAACCTAACCTAACCTAACGTTTTCGGCTACCTAACCTAACCTAACCTATAAAGATAGGTTAGGTTAGGTTAGGTAGGGTTGGTTAGGTTCGGTCATCTATCTACGTTAATTTTAACTCCAATAAAAAAAAATTGACCTCATACATAATGAAATGGGTAGCTATATCATTTCATAAGAAAAAAATTTGAGAAAATATATTAATTCAGTAAAACTTGGCTTATTAGGCAAATCGGGCCTCGCATAGTAGGCTGAGAAGTGAGTTCTGGCTACTAGGTACGACATATATATATATATATATATATAATTATATAATCCTATTTTCATCCATGCACATTTTGTATCTCTGACAATTGTCATAATGCCTAACAATAACTCCCAATTTTACCCACAAATTTCAGATGGCGACATAATCTCCGGACAAATACACGTTTGAATTGTGTTTACTGAAGAGCAGAGAGACATGTGAAGGGGCTCAAGATTTCCTCAAATATGAAAGTAGACATTCTGAAACTGAACAAATGGATTAGGTAAAGGTAGTGGAACAAGCGGGGGAGTGAGGTTGTATACCTGGTAATACATCATCTCGGAGGGTAGAGAGGTACTGGTCTCCATCTTGTACTGATTGTGGTCGCTGCCGGCCAGCTCCGAGCTGTTGGTCAGGTTCATGCTGCTCGTCACCAGGTGGCTCGATGCTCCTGTGTGAACACACAAACCATGGGTTAATGTTCTTATACACACAAACCATGGGTTAATGTCCTCATCCACACAAACCATGTATTAATGTCCTTATACACACAAACCATGTGTCACTGTCCTGATACACACAAACCATGTGTTAATGTCCTTATACACACAAACCATGTGTTAATGTCCTGATACACAAACCATGTGTCAATGTCCTGATACACACAAACCATGTGTCAATGTCCTGATACACACAAACCATGTGTCAATGTCCTGATACACACAAACCATGTGTCAATGTGCAGGTGATGAGTCACAATAACGTGGCTAAAAAGTATGTTGACCAATCCACACACTAGAAAATGAAGGGACGACGACGTTTCGGTCCGTCCTGGACCATTCTCAAGTCGATTGTCTTGAGAACACAATCGACTTGAGAATGGGTCCAGGACGGACCGAAACGTCGTCGTCCCTTCATTTTCTAGTGTGTGGATCGGTCAACATGTGTCAATGTCCTCATGCACAATCGTCGTGCAGTCTTACGAGAAAATAGTGCAGACGTACGCTTGGGCTCGAACTCGCGTCCCTCTGAACTCCTCAAAGCACACTCCATGTAAGTTGTACTTCCGGTTAACATACTATTTTTATAGCCCATCATGGCTCGACTGGTAGTGCGTGTGCCTGAAGAGTTCAGATACGCGAGTTCAATCCCATTTAATATTTCCTCACAGATGTAACACATAATTCTGAATTCACTGTGCACTAGTCTTATATATATTATACTTATATATATTACATTTCATTAAATTGGACAGACCTAACTTATTTACTGACAAGTGTTGGTTATTACATAACATATTTTCGGTGTATTTTAATCCCCCCCCCCCCAAAAAAAAAAAACTGCTAGAGGAGATACAAAATAGTGAAGAGAAGTAGTTTGAGACGTATGTTGCTGTGGTGTTATGAGGTGAGACGCAGACCATGTGGTGTTATGAGGTGACACGCAGACCGTGTGGTGTTATGAGGTGAGACGCAGACCATGTGGTGTTATGAGGTGACACGCAGACCGTGTGGTGTTATGAGGTGAGACGCAGACCATGTGGTGTTATGAGGTGAGGCGCAGACCATGTGGTGTTATGAGGTGAGACGCAGACCATGTGGTGTTATGAGGTGAGACGCAGACCATGTGGTATGTGGTGCTATAAGGCGAGTCGCAGACCATGTGGTATGTGGTGGCTACTATATCTACTGTGAAATGAGTTATTTAAGCGTAGATACATCGATGAATTACAGCCAACAGAACCGTCAGATTATTATTATTTATTATTATTATTATTATTATTATTATTATTATTATATTGTGGAAGGAGGGGCGTGACAGCGTTACTTGTGGGTGAGTGGTAGTAAGATAAGCGGAGGAGTGAGAGTTACGTTACTGTGGAGTAACGTTACCTGTGACCATTCATAAGAGGCACCCTTACAAATGGTAATAACGGTAACACTCTTCTTGCCTATAATCGCCGATGATAGCAATGTCAACGGCGGGAAAGATATAATAGTAAGCCTCTATGATTAACACAGTGAGGTTGACAATGCCAGGGGTGGAGTAAATAAGAAGTGAGTGAGTGAGTGAGAGAGGAAGAGAGCCAGCACCGCCACGGTCCAGGGCGGGATGGCTGCACGTACCCCATAACAATATCGTTGACCGCACCATCGGGGGAAATTTTCCCAAACTCCAGACTAGAGAAACATAAAGGTGAAATATATGAGCATGTTGGTTGGCGGCGGAGTGAGCAGCGTCCACCAGCCACCCGTCACCACTACCGCCCTCCACCCCCTTGCCACCCACTGCCGCCCACCCCCCCCCCCTTGCCACCCAATGCCGGCCACCCCTCCCTTGCCACCCACTGCCGCCCACCCTCGCCACCCACTGCCGCCCACCCTCACCACCATCTGCCACCCTCACCATCACTACTGTCACCACCACCACCATCATTACAGCCACTATCGTCGCAAGACTAAGCCCTCCACCACCCATCCCCCACACCACAACCCCGTGTTTAAATCTGACTGTCAACCTTGAATACAACATTTAATCCTGTCTTATTTTGCGACGGTCTGTCCAGTCTTGCTGTATCCTTCGGTCTACATTACCCCCCCCCCCTCCCTCCCCCTTGCCTACGTCGTGACGTGGTCGTCGTAACTGCTGATGAATTGCAATCAATTGCAGGCATTGCAGACGGCCCTCGTGTTTGAACCTTGGTTTAAAACATTGTAAGAAATACGTGGAAGTGGAGGAGGTGGATGATGATGATGGGGGAAGTGAGGGAGGGTGTGGGGGCAAGTGAAGATAGAAGGGATAAATGCACACTGCTGTCACCCTTCCACTCCTCCCTCAATGTCCACCCCGACCCTATCTTCTCCCACCCACCCTCTCCTGGCCCACCCCCACCCTCTCCTGGCCCACCCTCACCCCCGCCCACTATGCCCACCCAATACAACAAGGGCGCCTTTAAAACACCGTGATGATGGTGGCCCATCCACCTGAAGACTTGACCTCACCACACTACAAGAGAGATACCTGGTTGATGGGGTTCTGGAAGTTCTTCTACTCCCCAAGCCCGGCCCGAGGCCAGGCTTGACTTGTGAGAGTTTGGTCCACCAAACTGTTGCTTTTAGCGGCCCGCAGGACCACATACCTACCACAGCCCGGTTGGTCCGGCACTTTTTCTTTAGAAAATGTATTTTTTTCTTGAAGATGTCCACGGTTGTTCAGGTAATATTTCTTATAGTCGCTGGGAGGATGTTGAACAACCGTGGACCTCTGATGTTTATACAGTGTTCTCTGATTGTGCCTATGGCACCTCTGCTCTTCACTGGTTCTTTTGTGCATTTTCTTCCATATCGTTCACTCCAGTATGTTGTTATTTTACTGTGTAGATTTGGGACCTGGCCCTCCAGTATTTTCCAAGTGTATATTATTTGATATCTCTCTCTCGTCTTCTTTCTAGTGAGTACATTTGGAGAGCTTTGAAATGATCCCAATACTTTAGGTGCTTTATCGCGTCTATGTATGCCATATATGTTCTCTGTATTCCCTCTATTTCAGCAATCTCTCCTGCTCTGAAGGGGAAAAGTGAGTACTGAGCAGTACTCAAGACGGAACAACACAAGTGACTTGTATAGTACAACCATTGTGATGGGATCCCTGGATTTGAAAGTTCTCGTAATCCATCTTATCATTTTTCTGGCTGACGCAATATTTGATTGGTTATGCTCCCTAAACGTTAGATCGTCGGACATCATTATTCCCAAATCCTTTACTCCAGTGCTGGTCTGAGACATGTGCTGAGGGGTGATAATGGGTGCTGTGGGGTGGTGGTGGGGGCTGTGGGGTGGTGGTGGGGGCTGTGGGGTGGTGGTGGGGGCTGTGGGGTGGTGGTGGGTGATGAGTGCGTGCGTCTGACGATGGTGAGAGATGGTGACGGGCGTGGAAGAAAAGGTGTGAACTATGGAGGGAGAGATACCAAGTCTGGTTTACACTGATGGTGAGAGTGCTAACCATCCTGCGAGATAGGGACTTGTATTACCACTGCTACTTTATTCAATCTTGTGGTGTTGATATTCTCAAAATGCATCCGGAGTCTGCCAGTGCAGACCGCTTATCACATGTCTCTGTATGACTAACCATCCTGTGTGATGGGGATTTTTTAGCATCACCTAGTTAGCTTCTTTTTGACACACTGTACTCCACTTCATATAGTCTAGGGTAGCTGCACTAATGCAGATGTACCTAATATGTTAATAAAAAAAAAGTGCTTGTGACACACTGTACTCCCCTTCACATAGTCTAAGATAGCTGCACAAATGAGTACCTAAATGTGTTAATAAACAACAAGTTATGAGGGTTAGACACTGAAGAATGAGACAATACACAACAAGAGGTTAAAGACTCACCCATACTGTTGGTGTAGGTGATGTTGTGAGACATGGGATCGGACATCGGCGGCGGCAGAGTAGCGTTGTTGATGAGCACCCCCCTGGGCACAGGAGCGGCGGGGGTGGCCGGGGAGGAGTCGTGGGTGGGGTACAGGGCATGTGGGTGGTGGAGGGGCGTGCCGTGCCCATGTGAGTGAGTGGGCGAGGCACTGTGGGCGGCCATGGGCGTGTGGGGAGCCTGGGTGTGGTGGGGGTTGGGCAGACCTAGGTACTGCACCACCTCCTGCCACCGTTCCATTTCCCCGCTCCGAACCAGACTGCCCAGCCGACCCTGGAACACCAGAAACATAGACGGGTTAAAAGTTATCAAACAAGGATCATCACACACACTTACCTATCCTTACTTATCCTTACCTTACCTATCCTTACCTTACCTTACTTATCCAACTGATGGAATCGTAAATGCACACACACACACACACACACACACACACACACACACACACACACACACACACACACACACACACACACACACACACACACACACGAACTCCAATAGGAGCTACAGGAACCTTTACACCAGTAGATTGACAGTTAAGAGGCGGGACCAAAGAGCCGCGGCTCAATCCCCGCAAGCACAACTAGGAGAGTACACACACACCCACCCACACACACACCCACCCACACACACACCCACACACACACACACCCACACCCCCCCCACACACACACCCACACACACACACACGACAAAACAATAATAACTTGTGCTCACATGACGTATAATGTGTACCTTCCACATTAAAAAATAGTTGTATCTCCTCTGTCAGTAAACCTCACACACCCTCTAAAAGGAAACCTTATATATAAATATTTTTTAACTCACAAATATTATAATTAATTTACAAACAAGTATTATTAACATTTCCTAGTAAAGAAGACTGATAAGTCATTTTTACTAGTCAGAATCTTTAATACAAAAACATATTTATACAAACTGTTGTAGGTGCGACTCTACGGACCAAGTGTACAGTCGTTTTATATAGGATTGTCAACCTTAACTGAATATTACAGTGATACCAAGACTGCAAGAACGAGCAAGCGATTAATCCCTAAGAACTTTGGGCCCGACCAGGATTCGAACCCCATTGCCGACTAGGCTCACCCCTGGCGAACACAGTACTGTAATCACCACACCAATAATCGTCTTTGCTTCTTCTACCACACTAAGAACTAAGAGTTCTTAGTGATTCTCAGTTCTCCCACCTGCCACACACACACACACACACACACACACACTATTGTGGAAATAAAAATGTGGTCCTTCAGAGGCGGGTAACGCCTGGTATCCGAGCAGTGGACGTGGGAAGGTCTCTCCGCCTCATCGATCCTGACAAATGTCTAATTTCTACTCTGGCGACACTGAATTGCAAACCAATTTGTGTTGCAATGAGCCATTAACGACCCTAGATGGTCGCTCCCCCTCCGCCCACTCACCCATCAACCTCTACTCCAGAAATGATAGTACTTATAGTAGAAATTGCACGAACGTAAAAAAAATATATTCTTGTCCCCTCCCCAAAAAGTTCGTTTTAAACTACTGGAATACTAAAAAAAAAAAGTAGAAAGTGGAAGAGTAACTACACCACCTGTTCTAGGCCTGTATAAGCTATCAAAGGCCTAAACAAAAAGCCATCTTGGGGTCAAATTTATCACATAACTATGCGATGCTAGGCCTAGGAAAATTTAGGTATGGTTGTTGTCATTTTTCTCGCGCCCTCTATAAAATTATTTGCACAAAAGGTGAACTCTCTCTTTGGGTGCAACAGTTCATTTTTGTACGTACGACCAGACGCTATTGTTACATCATTTTTGGATGACAGGTTATGCAACACCCACAGTTCTTGCAGCGCCTCCTACACTTTACAACACTCTGTGCCAACACCCGGGGCTCCCACCTACAGAAACACTGCCACTGTGTGTACCAACACCCTCCTGAACAAATCCACAAGGGCCGTGACGAGGATTCGAACCTGCGTCCGGGAGCATCCCAGACACTGCCTTAATCGACTGAGCTACGACAGGGTGAAAGGGTTGAAACCGAAGTTCTACTGAACTTACTGGATCGGAGAGGCTACGGGATCCAGTAAGTTCAGTAGAACTTCGGTTTCAACCCTTTTACCCTGTCGTAGCTCAGTCGATTAAGGCAGTGTCTGGGATGCTCCCGGACGCAGGTTCGAATCCTCGTCACGGCCCTTGTGGATTTGTTCATTTGATGCATCACGTTAGTGTGATCTCTGTGTGTGAACACCCTCCTGTCTTCCCTATAGAACATTTTGACGTATACTCTACATAAGGCCAAAAATAGTCGTACTAGAAAAATGGCATTCGGCTCACGAAATTGACACACTGTCCTGTTTTCTGTTTTGGGTCCTCTGGCAGGTTAGGACAAGGGTACTTTAATACGACACTTTCTTGACCTTGGGGAACCTTAGGAGGACGGGCAGCACCTCCAGGGGATCCCACCATTTTCTCTCACGATGCCATTCCGATAATAAATACATGGCATGTCGAAAAAATAACCCCGTTGAAAAGTAGAGACAATTCTATCAACATCAAAGGTCTAAGGTTCTTCAACACTCTCCCTCTGATCATCTTGAGTTATCTTGAGAAGATTTCGGGGCTTTAGTGTCCCCGCGACCCGGTCCTCGACCAGGCCTCCATCCCTAGGAAGCAGCCCGTGACAGCTGACTAACACCCAGGTACCTATTTTACTGCTAGGTAACAGGGGCATAGGGTGAAAGAAACTCTGCCCATTGTTTCTCGCCGGCGCCTGGGATCGAACCCAGGACCACAGGCTCAAGTTCAAGTGTGCTGTCCGCTCGGCCGACCGGCTCCCTCATAAGGGGGAATAACTGACCGTCCTCGCTAGAAAGAGAACTAGAAAAGAACAGTTCGAATGGATAACTACATAATCACCTCCAAAGAATAGCTGATCAACCGAGTTGTGATTCGTCCGTCAGACTGCGAGCTGCGGCGTGTAACAGTCTGGTTGACCAGGCCACCAACCAGGAGGCCTGGTCAGAGACCGGGCTGTGGGGACATTGATTCTCGGAACCAACAAAAAATAAGAGGTAAGTCCCTATCGAGAAACGTACGCACCCAACCAACCCACCCAACCAATGGAGGCCAACACACAGAAAACGCTCACAGTGCTTTATTTTTAGCTAAATGTACATCACATTTTTAATGAATTGGTGGATACGGTCAAAATACGACGTATTAGCCGAGAGGAGGGTTTGGCGTACGTTCTCTCTCCTTATATACCATGTTTTCCTCACGTAGACTCGCAAGAGTCAGTATATTATCGCCAGGATGTGAAGGGAATTATGACGTGAAAGCTGCAAGCCAGTGTGACTGTATAGCACTTGAAAGGAATATGAGGACGGAGTGAGGGAACTGTACCCAACCAACTGGACCAACGGGGATCGAACGTTGATCCAGTAAGAAGCGAATCCATCGTTCTACCGTAAGTCCAAGTGCGGTCGTCAGAATGCGAGTTCAACGACAAATCCCATTAAAACACCCACTTACACCAACAGTTCCTAGCGTGTCATCCCTGGCAGCCGATCCTCACTTGAATTCAAAGCTAACTGGTTGCTTCAGCTGTCAGGCCAGACATACACGCGGGGCTTAGGAACGCGAGTGCTGGCCACAACAGGTGAGTGGGTCCAGCGGTGGTTGGTGACTCAAGGCTGGGGACGCCACACAACTGGCCCTCTCAGCAATTCAAGACAATTTAAGGTAATGACGCCATTACAGCATCAGCAGCAGTAGCAACATCGTTAGCCACCCACAGCGCCTCTCACTTGTCATGTTTGACACCACACACACATGCCTGGAGTATACCTGTACCGTGTTCTCAGAGTTCTTCTACTCGCCAAGCCCGGCCTGGGGTCCAGGTTTGACTTGTTGTAACTAGGTGCACCAGGCTGTTGCTGGGAGCGGCCCGCAGGCACATATATCCCCTACAACCCGGTTGGTCCGGATCGACGCCCCGGTCTCACAACTCAGTCACAACCCGGTCTCACAATTTAACAAGCGTCAATTATGAGTGGTTTTGCTTAATCAGAAGCGTGTGAAAGTAACCAACCCGCCTGACTTATGGAGACCGATGCTTTTAATTTCACTAAAGCACTAAGGTTCTGACGCTATGGCCAATAACGTTAAAACTGAGGTGCATTCAAAGGGATGACAGGGGTGGGTGGGTGTGTGTGTGTGTGTGTACTCACCTAATTGTGCTTGCGGGGGTTGAGCTCTGGCTCTTTGGTCCCGCCTCTCAACCGTCAATCAACTGGTGTACAGATTCCTGAGCCTATTGGGCTCTATCATATCTACATTTGAAACTGTGAATGGAGTCAGCCTCCACCACATCACTTCCTAATGCATTCCATTTGCTAACTACTCTGACACTGAAAAAGTTCTTTCTAACGTCTCTGTGGCTCATTTGGGTACTCAGCTTCCACCTGTGTCCCCTTGTTCGCGTCCCACCAGTGTTGAAAAGTTCATCCTTGTTTACCCGGTCGATTCCCCTGAGGATTTTGTAGGTTGTGATCATGTCCCCCCTTACTCTTCTGTCTTCCAGTGTCGTGAGGTGCATTTCCCGCAGCCTTTCCTCATAACTCATGCCTCTTAGTTCTGGGACTAGTCTAGTAGCATACCTTTGGACTTTTTCCAGCTTCGTCTTGTGCTTGACAAGGTACAAGGTGTGTGTGTGTGTGTGTGTGTGTGTGTGTGTGTGTGTGTGTGTGTGTGTGTGTGTGTGTGTGTGTGTGTGTGTGTGTGTGGTGTGTGTGGTGTGTGTGGTGTGTGTGTGTGTGGTGTGTGTGGTGTGGTGTGTGTGTGTGGTGTGTGGTGTGTTGTGTGTGTGTGGGGTGTGTGTGGGGTGTGTGTGTGTGTGTGTGTGTGTGTGTGTGTGTGTGTGTGTGTGTGTGTGTGTGTGTGTGTGTGTGTGTGTGTGTGTGTGTGTGTGTGTGAGAGAGAGAGAGCCCAGGTCTTTAATCAAACCCCAATGTCAATTATTTTCTGCACTATTATATATCTATATCATTATTGTAATAATGTACAATTTGTACATTACATTGATGATAACAAAACTTATATTAATTTATAATTATTATGGACAATATAAAGCTTTTATTTTCATGTGTATTTACTATGTATAATATTGTAACAATGAACATAGGAGGAATCATTAAGATGACATTAAGATAAGAAATTCTATAACTTCACCATTCGATAAAGCGAATATGTAAATATTGCAATTTA